TTGCAGTACATCGCAGTAACCAAAAGCATGTAGATGTTTCTCTCCAAATTTCATTGTTTTCATGAAAGCTTGCTCATTCAACTCCATCTTTCCTTCTGTGTGGCAGCAAACCCATTTTAAGTGGATTACTGCCATCTAAAGGGCTGGAGGGAGAAAATCAGTGTCTTAAGGGCAGATTATACTTTTGCAACCGCACACATCAAATGTCGCTTGGGTCTGGTTTTGAACCAGTTTTGCTGGTATGTTTCTGCACCGTCGGTATGGAATTTCTTGGGAGGCACAGCAGTTTCCCGCCAAAGCGCTAGGGGGAACCTATTCAAGAATTCGCCACAACTTCGGCGGATGCTCATGACAACTTTGGCGGTGTCAGCGGGAGAGTTTATTTTCCAAAACAACAATGGCACGTCTGCACGGAGATGGATCTAGGGTTGTAAGACATCGAAGAGGAAAAGGTTCTGTTAATGGAGTTGGCAAAAAGACTGATTAACCTTTCGTTGTAGTTGTCCATTTTGTTGTTCCTCAGTTTTTATAAATGGCGTGCCACAGCACCGAATCCAGAAGGACAACCACACAGGCAGCCGGTTAGGCATACCAAGGACCAATGACAGCTGCTTTTTGTTTGCATACTTCCGCTTGAGGTCTGCGTGGGTTTACGGCTGTCCGAAGCGTAGTCACGATTTTTTTGAGATGTGCGACAACGGTTGCAGAACCTCTGTGCAGGGGGCACAGAGACAGATTTGTTGGTTGCAGAGGCTATGCGTCAGAAGCATAAATTGGCCTTTACTCTTTGTAATGTAACAAGACAATTGAGTGTGTCAGGTTTGAGAATTGTGTTTTAATTGATTCAATTAATTGCCCTGCCCTTATCTTTTGCTTAGAAAAGGCTCTGACCCTCATTACGCCATTGGCATTCCTGCCCTTTCCTACTAATAATACCCTGTATTTGCATGAGCATACAATCCTTCAGTCAATTGTTACACCTTTTAACTCATAATGCATTGTGTAAAAAGCCTTCTTTTTTTTACCAGACAACAAAAAAAAAAATTTTGATAGTCTTTTTCTTTATCTTTTTTTGCTTAAATTTCAATGTGTGTAACACTTGTTATCAATGTGTTATTTTGATGAACGAGCAACGTCGGCGAAAAAAATTGCCCCAAAAGAAAACAGCCCCACATATTGGAGATTGGTTGGACTAATCAGCACTCACTCCACTGGCTCCAAAAATAACATGTCGAAACATTATGTCCGCTTAGAAGTTTAATTTGATTTAAAGAAAGATGAATGTGCTTAAAAACAGGATTTCTTGAAAAAATAAAAATGTTTGTTCTGCTGTTTTGAATTTATCATCTTGTTCTAGTAATATATCTGTTCTAACTAATTTAAGTGATACCAATAACAAAAATGCCCACTTCATTATCCATCTTTCTAGCATTTTTTATTTTATTCATGATTTTATTTTTCCGAATAGGAAACATGCGTCATGCTTTTAATCCCTCACTGTATTTTTCTACCAAAAGGCCACTCACAATATGTCACTGGCTGGGGTACAACCAAGGAGCTTATACTGCTTCTCTTTTTGTTATGATGTACACAGCCAATACTTTTTTTTAATAGATAAAGGTTTTTGTTTGCTAATCCTATGATTGTAATTTAATTGTGAAAGTCAAAACTGACTCCTCCATATGTGATTACAAGTAGATTATTGTTTGGGCTGAAATTATTTATATTTGACTGGATATACTGGTTTTCATGTGAATGGTCCAAAGATTAGATTATTCTGTGCTTTTGGTGTTTTATAAACAGAATGTATTGATATATTCAGAAGGTTAAAACAGAGCTGCACAAGCCTTAAAAAAAACAAAAAACATAATGAAAGCATTCTTCATAAATGCATTAACTTGTAATGAAAAAGCACTTTAGATGAACTGTCTAAATTTGCATGTGGGGTCATGATCAATTAACTTTCTGAATGATTAACTTTATTTCTTGAGTTTATGGCATCTTTCTGGATTGCTGTGCCCTTTGAATTGTACTTCAAGCTGAAGTAAAACATCAGAATACTTTTTCCTTTGTTGTAGTTAAGCTATTTGATTTTTATTTGTAGGCCTTCTTACGTTTTTTCTTTTTTCTTTTTTTAGCTGTGCTTTTCTTTTCCTTAAACCCCCACATTAAGAAATTTAGCAGAAAGGCCCACGCAGGGGATTCAGAACAGGTTTCTGCATGTTGCAGTTTTCAGGCAGTGTGTTTTAACCTTTTAGGCTGACAGAGGCAGCTCTACAGCTGCCTCTGTCAGCCTAAACAGTCTAAGGGGTTAATTTTTAACATTTCCTCTTTACGTTGTTTAATGTATTACAATAACCTTCCCAGAAAGGTGTTTGTAATATGAGAATTATGTCTTTCTGCAACATGGAAACCCTTAATCATCTTAAATATAACTGGCAGGAATTATTTTTTAACATACCCTAAAAATGTAAAGGGGTGTAGCCACATTCAGATATGTTATTGTTCTCAAAAACTAAAGCCAGCTATGATTGCTGACGCTTCCTCAGCAGTTGATGTTTCTATACAGTTTTGTACACGGTCATAATTTTGGTTAGAAATTTTGCTTTTTTTCTCTGTGAGCCAGTGAGCTTTTCAGTTATGCATTTCTATGTTCTTTGACTGGGTTTTAACAGTACTTATGTATCCTGGTTCTATACTGAGATCAGGTTTCAGTTTATGGTTCTGTAAATCAAGAAACAGAAATATATTTTGAAATTCGAGCTTCCTTTTCCTCTATTTTAACAGAAAATAACCCCTGTAGAAGCAAACCCAGATAAACAAACCACTCTAATTAGAGGGAACTTTAACATCAAAAAACCTTCAGAATATAGTTTATGTTGAACAAAATGTTTGCTTAAGTTGAAAGGCCTCTCTGGTAACAAAGATAGGGAATTAAGATTATAATAGTTTCAGTTTAGTTAGCTCGAACTTTAGATAAACTAGGCTGCAAAAAAAAAAAAAAAAAAGAAAGTAGTAGCATTCCACCCCCCCCCTCAAAAAAACATAATACAATATATTAAGCACCATTTTTAGGCAAATAAATGTTTGGTTTCCATTTTTTCCCCCACCTCAAATAACTACTGCAATATATCACAGTGCTTTAGTAACTTTTTGTTGTTGTTGTTTTTAGGATGCTGGCTAAAAAGCCAAGCAAAAGACTAGCTGAATTAAAACAAAAACTTATTACAAGCACCTGTATCTGCTTTGATGTTGAGTTCTTTAGATTGTTTCTGTCATGATGACCCTTAAACACCCTTGGGGAGTGGCGGCCTAGTGGTTAGTGGATTGCGCTTGGAATCTAGAGGTTCTGACTTCAAGCCCCACTCCCACAGACTGCCAGAAGCTTTGAGAGGAACATTGGCCCACAATATCCAACAATATAATCATGGCAAATGACAAAGAAAACTGTTTTTATAAGATAAATGAATAATGATAATAAAATGTAAATGTTGGATAATATTTAAGTCCAGATCAGGGGTCTGCAACCCGCGGCTCCGGAGCTGATTACGGCTCTTTAGCGTCCCTTATGCGGCTCCCTGGAGCTTTTTCAAACTTTTATGAAAAATAGATTTTTTTGGTTTGTTTATTTTAATATGGTGTGCAGGAGGTCAAACAGACATTCATTATCTTTTCCAATGCTGTAAAGATTTGTATAATAAATAAATTTAAACCATATATGTAATTTTTTTTTTTTTTTTTTTTTTTTGGTCCAATATGGCTCTTTTAGCAGTTTGGGTTTCCGATCCCTGGGTTAGGGCATAGAGCTGGGAATCCTGAGGTTCTGAGTTCAAGCCCCACTCCCACAGACTTGCGCTCTGGGTCTCTGAGCAAGACCCTTATCCCCAAAACTGCTCCCTGGGCACCGCAAAATGGCAGCCCACTGCTCCCAGTCAGACAGCAAATAGTGCTTTACAGTAGATTTCTCAACAAACCAGATTTGGTTGAAGCTAGAACTCTTCCATCTGAGGTGTCCTGGATAGAGGATGTTTACAAAGAAGGTTTATCTTAAATCCTAAATATAAATATTGCGTAAATTTTTTGCCTAATTTAGGCTTTGAGTTGATTGTTCTTTCAGGAAATTTCCTGTTTTGTGGTCTCTAAACTCCACCTTATAATTGAAGGAAATTAGTTGATGATTATTTAAAGGTTAAAAATAAGCGATTCATCACAATTATTCTCTAAATTATTTGAGTTTAAATAAAAACTTGCTGGTGATCATTGTGCAGAATGTTCAGAAGTAGTTTAATGTAAGGAGCTGATTTTAGCTGTTTAAAAGGTATTACGATGTTCTACACAGTGGACATGTTGCTTCTTGTGATCCAAATTTAGGTTTTAAACCAGCTTTTGTTGTAATGGATAAACTGTGAGGGTTGTAATGGGAAAGTCCTCTTTATTTAAAAAAATATATATTTTCAATGTGATTCTGATATTGCAGCTTTAAATATTGACCCAAAATGATACCAGGACAAATAATTCATACTTATGTTAGTCATTAGTCATTTTATATTGAGGAATCTTAGAAAATGATTAAGTGACATCACTCAGGGAACAATGGTTAACAATAGGTATGAGAAAAACTGACCCATCTATTATTAACCAATAGGTTATACAAGCTTAAAATAGAAGTGAAGTGTTTCTTTCGTCATGCTAATACCAGAGATTTTAGATGCAGGATGATATTTTCCAATATAATGTTTTTATTGATAGTGAACAGATATCAGTATTGGATCTTACAAATCTTAAGGAAACCATAATCTGCAGTTGTACCCACTTGATCACTACTTTTTTTTTATTTTGAAGAAGTGCAGAAGTTGAACTTGTCTCGTATGAAAAGGAATAACAAGTTTTCTGGAAACTTGCATATTTTAAACTGTCAGATCCCCCTTCATTCTGGTTTGCTGTAAAGCTGATTATCTCAGTAAGCAGAGGTTGAAACTCTTTGTTCTCCATCTCCTCAGTGGGTGGGTGCTCCCTCCTGCCAGAGAGGCAGCTACGCCTTCTACAAGTCGGTGAGCAGCAGAGTTGAGCCTGACGGGCCACTTCAAATATGGAAACTAGGAGAGTTCTACTTCATCCAATGCGGACCACAGGATCCCGTCTGTATCGCAGAGGTGAGAATCCTTCCTAAACCCTTTGTTTAATCCAGGCTCTCAGTTTTCATGAAGCAGCTTCAAATGTTGAGAGGAGGGAGTTCAGAGTTAATTCTTGTTTTACAGAGGCTTTCTAAACCGCGTCCCTGAATTCTTAGCTGCCTGATTGTGTCCAACTCAGTCAGAAAAAAGATGATACCATGAGCTCAAAACTCGTGTTCAAATTGTTTTTTTTCCACTGAAACTGGTCTTCTAAAAAGTTACTGTAATCAGTTTATTGGTTATTTGTAACAAGTCTCTAAAATAATCTGCTATGTTTAATATATGATCAGATCAAACAAAGCTGATCTGGGGCTGAGAGCAGAAAACTCTATAATGTTTTGTTTCTAGTCTGAAGACATTTTCTACTATTCTATACCAGTTAGCATGCAGGCTTTAGAGCAACAAAGTATTAGGGCCATCAAAGAAAATAGTAAAGAAGTAAAGAGTATTTAGCAATGAGATATACATTTCCTTTAAAGCTACAGTGTGTAATTTTCAGCGACATCTAGCGGTCAGACTGCAGACTGCAGCAACATGAACGTCTCCCCCCCACCGCTTCTCCCCCCCAACAGTACGGCGAGCGTTACGGGACAAAATGTCTTCCACGACGTCCGCATCACCTACCTTCTCAAGTGATGAGGTTTGTTTACATAGATAATTTTACAGATAGTATTTCATTAGTCTGTGTAGGGTATAGATTTCATGTAGACTTAAGATAATAAATATACCCGTTATTTTTTCTACGTCGTTGTGACGTTTTGGTGAGCTGCTTTGCATGGTGATATAAACAGACGAAGTAATTGTAGTCATTAGTTTAACAGCGAGATTGTGTTCGCTGGAAGAATATATATTCCCCGTTTACAGAGTCCAAGTCTTGTTTGTGGCACGGGGGTTACAAGGCAAGGAAGAGGGAAAGGAAGAGGGCAGAGAGGCCGGGGTGAGCGTGCAGCTGGGGCCAGGCGAGAGAGGGGAGCCAGCGGGGCGAGAGCAGAGGAGGAAAGGCTTGAAGATCTCCAAAGGAGCCGGAGAGAAGTAACCGAGGTATATATCCAGAAAATTATTTTACAGAAAATTACTGAATCATTACCTGTGAAACGTCAGGGACGTTGCTGAATAAGTATACTGGAGAGTAACAGCATCATCACGCAGCATGTTATTGTTTTAGACAGGTCTGAGCATCCTGTACTCCAAAAACTGCAGTGATATTAGACAATTGTGTGTATAGGATTAATTACCTGTCCAAGAGAAAACTGGCAACTTGAGCGTCACTTTGAAAACCTTTTTCCTCCATCAGTGACTTCCATCGTGTAAATGCCGTGCCAATGTTGATCCGTGTTTTTTGTCGTTTCTTGTCACTCTTGCGTTTATTCTCGTCGTGTTTCCGCTTCTTAGATGACGGGGGTTCGGTGTCCGCCGCTTTTCGTTGTGATACAGAGTAGACATGATCCTCCATTCGTCTGATGTTTGGCCACACAGTGCCAAAAAGTTTGCAAAGTCACTCACGCCTGCCGCCTTGTTTACCTTTCTTGTTACCGAGGCGCAGTATACCTGCTTCTTCTTCTTCTTTGGTTTCAGGCAGACTAAACGCTTCTCAGGCATAATACTGCCATCTACTGTTCAGTACCGTCTCAGTTCATCTCTCTCAACTTGCCGTAGTTATTTTCGAGCGTCATGGGAGATCTCGCAATCGCTAGTTTGTTGCCTCTGCGCTGCCGTAGCGCAAATATGTCAGCCTCCATGGCTGCGAGACCCGCTCCTATGTAATTATAAATAACGAATTCTAAGGCAACGCAAATGTTATGGTTAAAAGGCTGAGCTCATAGGTGATGATAAATAACATAGTTATGTATAATATATTAAATTTCTGAATTTATATGCCTGTAATTATTACACACTGTAGCTTTAAAATCGTTTTAGAAATTTCTTGATTCATTTTATATATTATTAAAACTTGGATATTCTCTGATGTCAACAGTTGTGAGTTTGTGATCAAAGTTATCATTTTCCATGATGAGGACATCAAATTAGCACCTTGAAATAAAGATATTCTTCTGCATGGAAAAAAAAACCCTTATAATTTATAGTAATAAAAAAAAAAACATAAGATTTCAGATGTCATAACACTTGCCAGAAAAATGCTGGAAGGATCTGATTAATCTGATAAAGTAGTAAATCTAGGAGGTGCATGTGACTAAACGATCCGTCCTGGAAACCTAATTGGTACCATCAGCTCATTTGCACATGCGCAACCAGATATACATCCTGGTTTCAATAAATAATGTGATTATGGAACAAAAATTACTTATTATATTTTCTGAGACAATTTTAAAACTTTTTACATTTTCTCTGTTAAACAGCTAGTCTGACGTCAACATCATGTTTGTCAAAAATGATTAAACCATATTTATCTGCATTTTAATAGTTTTAGTTTACACACTATATACCATAATGTTAACACAAAAGTAAAACTTAAAATTCAAAAAGACTAGATTTATGTTTAAATCCAAAGCTAAAAAAGTTAGCGCCTGGACGTAGCGTCGGATCCCTTTTCCGGTACAGATGGGCACTGACGAGTGATAAAGAGAGAGGATTTTAAGGCTTTTTTTTTTTTCTCAGGAGATACATTATTAACCTTTAACACATTATAGTTTAATACGCTTACTATTTTTAGGGTGGGAAAAGTATAATTTAGATAATCTTTACAAAATAAAATCAAGGGCGACCCAGGTGTATAACTGGATGCGCAAATGAGCTGATGGTACGGATTGTGCTTGGGTGACGGATCGGGTAGTGACGATGCACATCTTTGATATTTTCACATAGAAAATCAAGGCCCTTTTCTAGTCCCAAAAACTACAATATACCAGTGCAGCCATGATACAGCTTTATCTCCCTGTATTATTCCAGATCCCGTTCCTTTGGGGTTCATGACAAGTAGAGTGTTTTTCTGGTTAAGGAATAGGGTGGGATGTGCCGCTTACCTTTCTTAGAAAAATACATATTTTTTGATAGAAATTTTGGAATTCATAAAGTAAAGACCCAATTTTGAATATTGTGTTTTTGTTTTTGGGCAGACAGGAAATTTGGATTAGAGAGAGGGGGAGGACATGCAGCAAAAGGTCACCTGGCCGGGGGAGTCGAACCTGTGACGGCCGGTCACTGTACCCCATGTTTTTGTGCTCTTAAACATCAGGAATAAATAAAAAACCTTCTCAGTTCATTCAATTTTTTTCTTAGTTGTACACTTGTATATTACCACAATGCAAACATTTAGTTATGTTTTCTTTTTTTGTGATTAAACGTTTAAGATTAAGTTTTACAATACATTTTTTTTTCTTGACCTTCACAATAAGGTAATCTCTCAGACCGGATGACTATAATAAAAGAGGTCATTTTTATCATTAAGTCTAAAAAATGTAGAATTGGAAGGGAAAAAAATATAATTTTTTTTAAGCTGTACCACCAAGCCCTAGTGTGTGTTAGGGTTTTAAGAATTGTTTCTGACAACATGTAAAAAAAAAAATTATCTTTTTATTTTTTGGTATAGTGTTCACCTTGTGTAGTTTTTTTTTTTTTTTTTTTTTTTTTTTTTTTTTTATCTCTAATGGGTCATGGGTTAGATATACAATTCAATCTGGCGGAAGGAAATTTAAAGTATATTATCTTAATCAACCATAAATTATTAAGAGAAGATAAGTTGAAAAAAAAAGACGTGAAGACCGTTTAAAAGGAAAAGAAGGCGATAAAAAGAGAAGTTCAGGCAAGAAGAGGTTTGAGATGAACTCTCCCAGAAGGACAGCTGGGAGAGTCAAACCGACTATTGACAAGATACTGGTGAGACCTGCCTTGATGGATGGTTTGGAGAACCTGAAACTAGCAAAAAGACAGAAGGCAGAGCTAGACAAGGCCAGATTTTTAATAAAAGGCATCAAAACTGACATGATTGGAAATGTATACCTGAAAGATAATGTTCAGATAGGGTAGGAAAGTTGGCTAGAAAAGGTTTAAGATTATATGAACGGAGGCAGAAGATTAATGTTTGGTATTGTGGTCTATATAGTTGAAAACCAACCTTTTACAGAGGAGAAAGGACACGTCCCAATGAGCAGTCCTGTAACAGAGTCCTGTACTGGTCAGATTTTTCAATTTCTCAAACTCACAGAGCTCAGAACTGAGATCTGACTTGTTTTACCAGCATTTATCCTTCAATTAAAACCCTGCTGAGACTTGTGGATTAATAGAATACCACCCGACAAGTGATCAAAATGTATTCACACAGCCGCTCATTTTCCTCAAGTGCTTTTAGTCACACAGTGCTTTATTTTTGTAGCTTCAGTGGAATACGGTCAGCCGAGACTCAAGCACAATGCATGGTGCTCAAATACCAGTGAGCACTTTGTATACAGATGACCAGCGGTAAACAAGCTGAATGTCGAAGGGTCTTTATCTCACAAATGTAAATATACATCAACACCAGCATGAATGCAATACAGTCAAAACGAGCCTCTTTTGAAACAAACTGTTCAATTTTACATTGAATTATACAAAAGCCGCCTAGGAATAAAATTCACAAAAAAACTATTTAAAACATGTTCATTGCTGGCTCCAATAAATACCTCAAAACTCATAATACCTTAATCCCAGTGTAGAGATGCAATTATAGATTCAAAAACTAATGTAAAATTGTTCCTAAATTGTACATAAACTATACCTGTGCCGGGAAATAAAACCACTATATTTTCTAACTTAGCTGAACATTTTATGGAGGAATCTGCCCAACCACACCAGGACTCTAATTAGCACAAAAGACCCTTAAATTGCTCAAATGATCCAAACTTCAAATCGTATAATCGTATAAAGGCTGATTTATGCTCAGAAACCAGATCGTGTGCGTGTGTGTCGCAGTTACAGCAGATACGCCTCTCCGCCTTCCGCAGGAACTCTGCTGCACCTCTCCAAAATTGTAGGTGACCGCAGACAGATGGCATCTGATTGGTCAATCAGCTCTACGCTATGCGTATTTCCTGTTTTGTACCTTACTGGCTTGTTTTGTTTGTATGACCGCCATTGTGAAAAATGACTCGTGAAGTTGGACCAGCTAGAAGAGTGAGGCGCAGGAGAATGCTGGGGCCCTTTTTCCACCTAGATCCCCGCTCTTTTTTGCCCTCATGTCCCTCCGTTGTCGCACAAACTTGCCCCCACTTCCTCACGGCCTCGGCCGTATCCAGACCCACTAGTTCCCGACTGTCCCTTGTGTTGTGGCGTGGAATAACATAGCGCAGACCACACTTCAATATTGGACATAAATGAAAAATATCTGCGACAAGCTCACTGCAACACACTGCTGCGGGAGGATAACCAGCCTTTAAGCTTTTGGCGAGCATTTAACTGTTTTTAAAACAATTAAAACAGCTGTTTTGGCCTCATGTTTATTTTTCTTGTTGATTGGCCTCTTCAGCTTCTAATGGTTGATCTTTTGTGGATTGTGGGGAAACATTACAGATCCTAACATAAATGAATAAATAATTTATTTCTGTCATGTTAGAAAGCATAGATTTCCAGCCACTTCATCAGGAAGAACATAAAAAGTGGGCTGAGAAAAGGTGCAGCAGTAAATTGTCTAGTGGACAGAGGCTGCAGTCGGCGCATTAAGAGCCACAAATTCTACACCTGGGCTACAAATGTCACGTTCTGGTCAAACCACTGCGAAACCAGAATCATCCTACATTATTGGGGAGAAAAGGAACTGCTCAGTGGGCTGTACACACTGAATATTTTGGGTTTATATTGTCTGCAAACGATAGGCATCAGAGTTAATAGAAAGAAGGCCTGCCAGCCTAAACTTTCTTTAGCATATGAGATTCCCTCTGAAAAGTTTTACAGAAGGGATTTACCTTTTTTTACAATATTCAAACCTTTTTGAGATTAGACACATGGATTACCATTCAGGTTAGAAACCTGTTATGTTCTACTAACTGGATTTTTTAAAAAGATATTGTTTTGTTTTTAGAAGACTGAATAGAGTCTCTGACAGGTGAATAGACATCATGGACCGAACATGTTGTTTACAAGTCAACAAAAAGACGAGTGTGAATGTCTCTTTGTGTTCTTGAAGCACGCTTAATAGGCAGTGGAGAATCGAAACAAAATCAGAGGTCAAACACTATTGAAATTTAATCATTAGGTCTTTTCTTCCCAGCAGCCTCTTGCAAAGATTTCTTAAACAATCTACCACTGAGTTACAGAGAGAAATCCGAATGTTACCTCCAATAAGTTTATTTGAAAAGGCCGTTAAGAGAAAGCCTCGAGTGAAAATCGCAGACTTGGCGCTCCAGTAGAGATGGATCATCCCACAGCTGTGATGTCTGCCTTATATTTAAAATGCATAGAAACTACCTTAAACATGTAAACCTTTTGCAAATTGTACTTTTTTTATTTATCCCTAAAAAGTTATGGGGATTTTTCTGAGCCAACACTTTCCTGATAGCAGCTTTTAATATTTAAATACATTTAAATAGATATCTCACCTCAATGTTTCTCAACTGCTGGTTCACATTGATGTAGAGCCTGTTTTGTCCAGAAACCATCAAAGATTTCAGCTGTTTGGGTTCAGTTAGATGTTAGAAAACAGGATTCATTCGTATGAAATGGACAGTAGAACTCTTGTTAGACTATACATCCTAATCTCTGAGGTGATGTTAAACAGATGCTAAACAAAAGAAAAGTTCTCAGAATGCTGTCTGTTCTCGTACAGGTGACCTTACTGTGGGAAGATCAGGCTCGACACCACCTGCTGGCGAGCACCAGACTCTACTTCCTGCCTGAGGACACTCCAAAGGGCCGGACCAAGGAGCATGGAGAGGTAGGCTTTTAAAAGAGGAGAAATAAGCGACTTGCTTTAGACATTTAGTTGATTTAACTGATTTCAGGTTTACAAATCTAAACACTTTTTTATAAGACTACATTAATCAGATGATAAGGGCTTTAAAGGTAATCAGCAGGTAAGATACTGATGAATTTAATTTGTGTGGCCTAATTGTTTATCAGCCAACCAGTCTTATAGATTATATAAATGGTGCTTCGATGTGATCTCATAATTATGGTAAATACCAAAATGTGACATGAAACTGGAAAGCTGGGAAGATTCTATGATACCAGATTTGCTGAGATGAGGTAAACTTTGACCTTTGAACACGATGAATAGCCAAGAACAGGGTGTCCACAGGTCATTGGAAATCATTAAATTATAAATTTTTTAATTAAGGCCTTAATTGGCATTAAAATTCATTAAATGGGAATTTCGTGGCCTTTAAAATGTTTTATAAAAAAAAAAAGTTTATAAAAACTATTTCGTCAGATATATTATATTGCAATTAGGGCTGCAACAACGAATCGATAAAATCGATAAAAATCGACTTTTAAAAGCGTTGGCAACGAATTTCATCATCGATTAGTTGTGTTGCGCGATTAATGCGTCATCCGCCGCCGCCGTCATTGCCGTGGGGCGCCTTCCCCATCCCAACTCGGCTCCCGCAGGAGTCCCTCTCAGCGCTGCAGTCAGAGTATGTTTACCCTCAGCGTCCAGACTGCAAATGAAGCGCGCATGCGCCGGGATTGACGGCGCAAATTGATCACAATAATTAAAATAGCCTGCGCTTTGTAAAGCGAAAAAAGTCGTAACATGCAACTTTTGTAAAAACAAATGAACATGAAGCGCCGCTGTTATGATGCAGCACCTGAAAAGGAAACACGTTGGAGCCTTTGATGGCAATGAAGAGAGCTGATCAGCAGGGTGAGCGACCATGTTTGTTTCGTTTTAAAGTGGGGAAACGTAACGTTAGTTTCTCAGGTAGCTCATCTGATGCTTTCCTTACCGTGTTAGTAGGTTACAGACAGTGATAAGGTTGGCTACTTATTTTACTTTTAATTTCATTTGAATTAGCTTAAGCAGCGTTTATATTTTCTTTATAAATAAATTAACTTGCAAATTATGAGGGCAAGGCTTTTAAAGTTTAAATCTTCTGGCAAAGATAAAGTAAAGATGATCCTGCAATTTATGGAAGTAAAGCAGAATAAAATCCAGCAAGATCAGTAATATGTCAATTAATTATTTGCCACATTTCCATGTAAATATTTGTCTTTGGAGGATGTGTTTTTTACCCCCCCTAGTTCTCTCATTTTTATTCCAAATACAATTTATAATTTGAATCACAGGGCTATTTTTTATCTCTATGGTTCAGTATTTTCTCAAGTAGCAACTTTAACTGCTATACTTTCCTGTCTTAAAAGGCAGAACTCTTCTAGTCTAAAAAAACCTAATTTGTTGAAATTGGGGGGGCCTATTGTTTGAACCCCTTAGGGGCTTTTAAAAACAAAAATGTCTTTCTTTGCGCTTTATGAAACAAAGTACCCTATATGTTGTGGATGTACATCTACATTTCTCATGTAAGTTTGCGTAGTTTTAACACCAACATTTATTTTTCATATTGCACCAGTACAGTTAATGAGCAACCTGTACTTGTGTGCTTGTTTGTTCTGTCTAAAATGTTTATTTTGGAATAAAGAGGTTAGTATAAAAAATATTTTTTAACCGATTCATCGATTAATCGAAAAAATAATCGGCCGATTCATCGATTTTTAAAATAATCGTTAGTTGCATATATATATATATATATATATATATATATATATATATATATATATATATGAGAGAGTCAGGGGTACTTGTTGATTGCATTAGAATTATTTCTAAGAGCATTAAAAAGCATTAAATTAGAGTTACTCATTGCTGTATAAACCCTGGAGAAATTATTCTATATGGTGAGTACTGCATTGTTAAGCGTATTCTCCTGTTTTATTTGTAGCCTAGACAATGTTATGATTTTTTTTTTTTTATACCCATCACCATTTAAACTTGGGCTGTTTTTTTTAAATTACCGCTATTGTTTGATTTTATCATATAGTCGCTATCACTCAGTCGATGCAATTAATGTATCCTCTTCTTCCTTTAGCAGATGAACTAGGAAGTCTATTACTGTCTTACAAAGTAGCAGGTCAGGATAGTCTTTGCATTCAACATGTTTCTCTTTTCAACTACAACAAAACTGCTTTAACACAATGCACTGATAATTTCCCCTTTAAAATACGAAAGAATCATCTTTACCAGAGCACATGAAGGCAGCATCAGTTTACTTATTGTGGGATTTTTTAGGTTTAAGAAGCTGCTTTTAAGTTACACTCTATTCATAGAATTAATGTTTCCTGTATGAGAGGGTTATTATTTATCAAAATAGTTATAGTTTCTTAAAGATTAAATAGGAAAATTAAAATCTGACACTAATAAATGTATTCTATATGTTTATGGACTACAATTCAAGAAATTAAAATAAATCAAGGCTAACAAACCATCCCAGACACTAAACAAGACCACTTATTATAAACGTCACTCTGCTTGTTGATTGATAATTAGGATGGAAAAATTTGTGTCATTTCTCTTCCCCTATAAAATTCAGAATCCGTTTTTATTTCCTGGAACTAGGACTGTGCGATATGGACAAAACACGTCAACATTTAAGCCTTTGACATCAGTTAAGATCAATAATTACTATCATCTTTTTGTTTTCCAAATTTAAAAAACAAAGGGGAGTGAGGTCTTAGTGGTTAAGGCATAGAGCTTGGAATCCAGAGGTTCGGGGAAAAAAACAAAAACAATGTAAGTTGTAACCATGATATTATTTAAACATAGCCTTTAAAATTATTTCAGCTCTGCTAACCTTGCTTAGCTTCTGTATAATTTCAGTGAATCAGAAGTCACTGAAATGATAGAAATTGCTTTTGATAGATGAAAATGTTTATTGTTATTGAAATGGTGTCTATTGATAACTGATGTTGTTTTATTGCCCAGCCACACCTGGAACTAGTCTGCAGGATTTCTACTTTGGATTTGTAAACGGGCTAGAAGAAAGTCTGAACGATTTAGAGAGACTTCAACGAAACGTTTGGCAGTATACAAATGACAATTTAGTGTCTAAATTTACATATTAGACACACTTATGTCTGCTAAACAGACATTTATCACTACTGTAGCTAAAAAGCATGGCCAGGTTCTGATACCTTGGTTTGGTTTCTAACCAGGAGCTTGTTTAAATGCTAATTTTACTCATGCAGTTTTACAGGGAGAAGAAAACCAGTTCTTACTCCTTTTCAGTCATTCATGAAAGTTACATTTGAAAATATAATAGGCTATCTTCCTGGGGGATTAATTTATCTGTTGGTTGGTCCATATTCCAATCTCCTGTTTTTTTGGCATACTTTTAGTCTTTATATGACCTTCAGTTTCATTGTAGCTTTACTGCTCTCATCTTAATCCATAAAAAGGTCTCAAAATCACAACAAGCAAACAGTGTTTCAAGTTATTGGCAACAAAAGGAAGGCCTTAGAAAAACGAACAAAGAAATAATGTATATGTGCTGCTACTTATTGATTTGACTGTTGCAGTCAATGTTGAATTGACTGCAACAGTCAAATTAAGTTTGAAAACTTAAGCAAAAAAAGCAAATATCAGGACAAAATATTGACTGGCCAAAGCCAAAACGTCAGCCTGTGACAAGTGCTTGACTGTACTGTTAAAGATCTGCTTGAAAATCATATTAATGATATATTAAATTATTTTACAATATGTATTCATAATAAATTATTGTCCACTCCGACCTGCTGTTAACTTAGTTTTTTTTTTTTTACATTTGTCTCATATCAGAGTCTAATGCAGCTGCAGATGGACCTATGTAAACAGAATTGTAGTGTAACTGTTTGAAGATCATAAAAACACCCTTTTGAGAAATTGGCTTTTTATTTTTCAGAAGCTAATTAATAAACTGTCTGGAAAGAAAAGTCTAAAACATAGGAAATATGTCAGACAACAAAGTAAACTGATCTTTGTATTAGTCTGTTTCATAAATCCTATGGCATTTGCTGCAGGCAGAGCTGTCACAGTCCCTTCCTAAAATATTTCATTTTAATACCAGAATATTTTCTCTTATGGTATTGAAAATGGATGTTTACTGTTAAAATAAATGTTGTAAAATCTGCTCTTTGGTTGACTCCTGTAGAGGGGTGCTTAGAATAAATGTCTCCTTAATGTAGCCCGAGCCACACTTAAAGAACATCTAATAATATCCTGGTCGAAGGAACACTGCTTCTTTTTTTATAACCGAACATCGGCAGGAATCTTAAACCGCTTAGAATCCGAACAACCTTTCCTTCTGATCACTTTTAGTCTAAATCATTCAGGAACTTAATGTTGTTTGTTCTTCTTATTCTGATGCACTTTGCTGCAAAGCTTTAGCAGAAAGCATGTTTAAAATGAAAGCTATTATCTAAAGATGTGAATTGTTTATCATCACATGAAGTCTGATGCTCAGCTCTCACGTGAAAGCCTCCTGTAGGAATGAAGCTAATGTAAATCTTATGACTCGTCTGAAACCAAATTTTCCACATTTCACCTCAGATGAAATGGCTCTGTGTTGTTATTACAGCCGTGGACCTCAAGTCCCTTTAAATACAGAGAGCTTTAAAAGCTCTGCTCATCTTTCCTTATGATCATTTTGACACGCTTTTGGTCATTAAGCAACTAAAGCTGTTATTAGTACCTAAAACCTTACTTTCTATAACTCTAATAACAAAAACAGAAAAAAGAACTCAGTTATTTATTTTACCAGTTAGAAATTAGTAAAGAACAGCACTCAGTTCTCCAAAGGTTAACACTGAAATGGCTTTAAGTGACATATTTCTTAGAAAGTTCTGTAAATTGTTTTTTTTTAAACACTTTTCTAACTGAATTATTTCTTAAAAAAGATTCCGGAAAGGCCCTGTACCAAAAAGATTGAACAGAGCCTCGTCCCCAAAGCCCTGTTGGGAAGCTGGGACGTGCTTGTTGATGGATTGATGGCATTCGAGAAGAAGCTGCTGAGTAATGCAAGAGAAGAAACTGCCTCTCGTTGCCATGGAAATCCCCCCTTTTCTTTAGACAAACGTAACAATCATAGACACACTGAAAGGATGTTTTTTTTTTCTTCTTCTACTGAGTAAAGCAGGGTTTCTGCGGGTCATTAAAAATCAGTAAAAGTCATTAAATTATTTTTTTTTTTTATTAATGCCTTAATTGGCTTTAAAATTAATTAAATGTGATTATCGTGGCCTTTAAAATGCTTTATTAAAAAATAAAAACTTTTATAAAAACAATTTCATCAGATATATTATATTGCGATATATTTGCGCAGAATTGCTTCCGGTTGATCGTAAAGGAAAAGAAGCTCAAAGTGGAGAAAAAGCTAGAGAATAGGAAAATGCTCATTTCAACAAAAGTGCCTGGAAATGAGGAATTTGGGACATGGCGGCTGCGGCCTGTTGACGGTAAAGATGAAGGACCTTATATAAAATATATAAAATAACATTAAAAAGCATTAGAGTTACTCATTCATGTATAAACCCTGTAAATATTGGACGTGTTGACATAAAAGCATGTGTATGAAGATAATTCAAATTAAAAACCATGGTTTAAGAGATTTTATGAGAGATGGGTTAATATGCTAACAAAATTAGTAAATGGCAAATTTTACTTTTGGTTGCTGCTAACATACAACTGTGCAAAAATGGTGTTTCAGTAACAGCCTTCTATTAACACAGAGATAGAAAGATAAAATTTCCACGTAGAAATAGAGAAGTTAGCAGTTAGACTTTTTTTCTTTTAAAATTAATCGGGGGAAAAAAACTGATCAAAACAAACTCGTCAAAATGTGCCAGAGCATCAATCATGAATGTTTGTTGGTGTGTTTAAATGAAATTGACCCAAAAATATCTGCTTTAAAAACAAAAACAAAACATGTTTTACTTAATAGCTCCTTAAAAACATAGTTATAGTATTTTATTTTATAGTATTTGGACCTTCTGTCAATATTAAGAGTCTCTGTTTCTGCTCTTAGTGTTTCATAAAACAGATGCTATTTTAAACATTTCTACCCAGTCAGCTGTTTGCAGCTCTCATTTGTACTGTCACTCATTCTCTTTCATGTGATTGTCAGTTGTAGTCTTTGTGGTTTTAATTTGAGTTCTTAGCTTCAGCTGACATCTGCCACATCCTGTGTTCTGCTGTAGATTTTTGTTTTTTTTTAAAGACTTGTTTTAAGAGTCTACTCTGATCTAAAATGAACCTGTTTGATCGACAGCAGCCAGAGGTTCATCAGATTGGGAAGCAGAGCAGCTGTAGCTACGCTGGCGTCACATTTCGCTGTTGCTCTACGGTACAGAAGAGAATTACTGATCATAGCCTCAAACATTTAGAGTTCAACTGATCAGGGATAAAATGTTGCTTTGCTGTCAGATGTCCTGGGGTGTTTGAAGTGCAACCAGCTGTTTTCTTTAGATTAGTTCAGAATTTTTATTTAATAGAATTTTAAAAAACAATCGGCCATGTCGGTTTGCCGTTTTCCAATTCATCCATCATGTGCCCACAGGTTTCTGTTTCTTTGCATCTTTAGGTTTTAAACCCATTCACCTACACCACGCTAACACGGTTTGCTCGCCTCCTAGTGGCGATATATATACGGCACTGCTGCTCTCTAGAGGTAAACAAGCAAACCAACATGGCGGCGCCCATAACATTCAGGAAGTTATAATTGTGATATTTCGTTCTTTGTGGTCAATTTCAAACATGTTTTTGGCACCAAACCAATCAGGGTGATAAACATCACATGTTTTAACATCAACACATCAAGACGTGATATTAAAGCATCTGTCGGAGATGGAGCAAAAAATTATCTGGTCTGAGATTTTCAAAATTTATACTGAAAAAGTCCATATGCAACATTTACATGTATAAATACACCAGGGATTAGACCCTGGGTTGTGAAAAAACTAAAAGTTAACTTTTTATAACAAGCCAGATCAGACAGTTGCCACAGCCCTTAGGCACTGTTAGCAGTTTGGTAGGGAGAAAAACATCTAAAAGGAATAGAAATGAATCATCAGCTGGATTGCTCAAAGCTGTGATCCAAAAGAACTGATTCTGGGATTGGCAAAGCAGTCAATTAGCTTCCCAAATCACCTCCCTAAAGCTTCTTCAACACAATTGGTGAACGTTGCTTCTGAGTTTGGTCTGTGCATCAATTCATCGTACTGTAGTCAGATATCCAGACTTAATTGTAATTTTACAGGCTACAATAAGCCGTCAGATAAGATGAAACGTGAAATCAAACAAGTCTGGGTATTTATGTGGTTTAATTAATTCTGTGATGCAAAGTTATTTAATTTAAAACATTTAGATTTAATATGCCCTAAATGATGGGTTTTCTAAACAGTTGCGGCTTGTTGTGTTACCATTTCACCTTGGAAAGGTACTAAGGAAAAAAGACCTGAAATGAATAGAGATGGTTTTACCACAGGTAGAAATGTGAGTGTTATTCAGCGATAAGTGAATCTAAATAACCCAGCTCAAAAATAATTTGGCAGAAACGATGTGATGTAATCACACTTTTTGTTTTTCATTTTTGAGTCTAACAGCTGTTATTTTGCAGCGTTCATAGAAATAAATGCATCTGAGTTTGGGTTGTAAAACTTCTACAAACCTTGAAGCTTCTAATGATACACTTCAAAAACTAAACGGAAATAGAAGAAACTCAGTCATCAACTTCCTGTTTCATGTTTGAGTGTTTTGCAACTGGTTACAGTGTGTATTTGACGTCACTGAGCGAGGAGGCCTCTTCTCTTAATAAATAGTTTAAAGTATAAACCAGCTGAGTTTAACAGCAGTTATTGTAACATCTCAGTAAATGTACTGCCACATGTAATCTAATTTACACTTTAGGAAAATGTTGAGAAGATAATACTCCGGAGTCGTATTTCCCTTTAAAACCTTCCTCTAACAGCTCAGACTTATCTTATCCTTCTGTCTGGATTTTTTTTTTTATTTCCTCATGTTTCTTCTTCTGTTTCAACACGTTCAGCTGGAGCAGAACAGAGCTGGTATATTCAAGGCCTCAGGGTTTCTAACTAACTACAAATTAAATAGTTCATCTTGTACAACAAAGAACAAAAGGGACACAAACCTAAATTAATTCATATATTATATCTTTTAGTTATAGATCAACATGTACGGATAAAAAGATTATGTAAAACATGCAGCTTTGATATTAAAATAATAAAATATCGCTTTTGATTCGTTAAATTTTTTCATGCGATTTTTTTGATTAGTGTTCTGATATCTTTCTCTGAGCTGTAGTGTCTCAGTAACTAATATCTATAATCATCTAACTGTCCAGATATATTGTTTCCATGTAGAAGGGAACATTTTGTCCCTATGAAATATTAGTCTATATTGCATCCAAGCTGTCCTTTGAATCCATATATTGTCTCATGTAAGCTTCATTATTAAACAACAGGTTGTTTTATATTTAGTCAGTAAAGTGAGCCCTAACCAGATGCCTTATTAAAAAGAGCATAAAAGAAAACCCCAGTTTCACTCTGTAGACTTTGGTCCTACAGGTTAATAAAGACCAGTTCTGCGTCTGAATGCTAATTTCTTTTCTAACAGACCTAAACAACAGCCCTGAAGCAGATGTCCTCTCTGTGTCCTTGTTTTATCAGGACGAGGTTCTGGCTGTGTCCAGGAAGATGGTGGTACGAGTGGAGGACCTGGTGAAATGGTCACTTTTGGAGCCGGCAGGGTGGAGCAGCAGCCCGACTCCTCTGCCGGTCGGGACCAACGGCGTCCACATACCTCCACAGAGCAGCGAAGAAAGGAGTGACACACCAAACGCCGCTGTTGAACTGCTGATAGTCAAAACTGAGGGTAAAAACACATTACTGGATATCTCAGTTGCAGAACATCTGGTGGATCTCTTTACATATGAGCAGAGGAGAATTTTTCACAGTAAAATCTACTTTATATATCTTAAGACTAAGTGTATTTATCTTTAATTTGAGTAGGTAAATGAGATAGTTTGCCAATGGAATTAGTATTTTTACTCTTAAAATAAGATCATTAGATAATATCCACTTGAAATAAGACAATGCAGTTGTGTTTTCTTATTTTAAGAGTAAATTGTCTTGTTCCATTGAAAAAATGTCTCTTTTACCTCTTCAACCCAAGAACAAATGCACTTACTTTAAGAAAAAATGACTTATCTAGATTTTTGATTTTCTTCCAGTGAATTTCGTTTTTAAAATGATGCAGGTATGTGTTTACAGCAGCTGCAGATGAGCAGAGGCCTTTACTGTGGGAATATTCAGTCCTTTGCTCTTGCTGAGAAATGCTGCAGTTTCATGTTAGCTTCATGTTTGAACATTTCAGCAACACCTTGGTCTGAGAGATGATCTGGAGGTTTAGGAGCTAAAGGACAAACCGAGTTACGGCAACGTCAATATTTTGCTCCTCCAAACTTCTGGAAAAACGAACTGCAAAGGAGTGTTGTAGAAAACTGCAAATTTGTTCACACAACTGATAAAACGTTTTAAGATTTTACAGTTTGTAAAGTTCTTTTAAACAAGGTTCTGATTAGGACTGGGCGATATAGAAAAAAAAGTATCAATTAAAAAAAAAAGCATATTGATCGATATCGATAATTATTGAAAAGATTTGAAACCATATTTTATGTGCAGGTCTGCCTGGACATTTTACAATATTGCTAAATGATTTAATTTTAATAAAGAACACAAACACAGACTTCCAATTAAAACTTTATTTAACCAACTTTTTTAACCATAACAGAATTGTTTTAAAGAAAAATAACTTAAGAGACCTGAGTTATGTTATTAAATACTGACAAAGAATAAACTAAAGTGACCAAAATAAATATAACAAATAAATGGAGATTCCTCGGAGGAGAGCCGCACCGGGGATTACACAGCTCGTACTCCTGCGGCTGTGAGCGGCTGAGATGATAAAAAAAAGTTGGTTGTGTTATCAGACTTCGTTTTCACTGGTTCCCTACACATTTTACAGATGACTGTGGTTTGTTTTTTGTCCGACTTGCCATGACCGAAATACTGCCAAACTGGCGAACTACAAAAACCCTTCTTTGGAACAATTTCCTCCGCCTCTCCTTGCTGCGACATCTTCATGTGCTCTGTGTTGTGGTTTGAGAGGGCGGCGCTTTGTGACAGCGTGCCTGGGTCCGCGATTGCGATTGGTTGGGAGGAAGTAGTGACTAGCATAAACCTACATGATAGGTTACAATGAGAAGGAAGGAAAACTGCGTTTCTTTATTGAACTTTTATCGAACCTATTTTTTTCTATTGCGCCACACGTCTATCGATCGATATACCGTATTTTCACGACTATAAGGCGCACTTAAACGTCTTTTTTTTCCCTCAAAATGTGCGGTGCGCCCTATGTTTGTTGTAACTGCGACTTTTGAGACCGCCTCATTGAGGAGATGATGAAAGAGTGGCTGAATGTAAGGAGACCAGGTGTTTTTTTTTCCACTCATCACCATCGCTGTTAATATGTAACTCCATGCGTGCCCATCTCACAGCTGATGTGAAAAACATGGGGAAACAAATTAACCCTGTGCTCGCTGTTCAACCGCTCGACATCGGTGTGAACCGGACCCAGCAGGTGCAGCAGAAGCAGCGAGTTTACATGCAAAGTCAATGGTTGACGCGCGTATAGGTGCAGCAAAAGGTCCCGCAGCGCGTTTTGAGCAGCAGGAGCGTTTAAGCATCTGCCAACGCGCTGCTACTGCTCGAGATGGAAAAATTGAAGTTTTGCTGCTGGACGCGCCGCATCAACCAATCAGAGAAGCTGATCTGGGAGCTGACAGCGAGACAGACACATCGCTCTGATGACATATGATATTAACGCAAATGGAAAAGGCTGGATGGATGAGGAGATGATGAAAGCGTAGCTGAGGGAGGTGTAGCCTATGTTAGGAGACCAGGTGGTTTTTTCCACGCATCACCATCGCTGCGTGCCCATCTCACAGCCGATGTGGAAAAAAAGGTGAATCAAATGAACGCTGTGCTCGCCGTTATCCCGGGGGGTCTGACAAAGGAGCTTCAACCGCTCGACATCAGTGTGAAGCGGCCGTTCAAAGTAAGGCTGCGAGCGGCGTGGGAGCGATGGATGGCCGACAGAGACCACAGTTTCACGATAAGTGGAAGGCAGCGCCGGGCAAGTTACGCCACCGTTTGCGGATGGATTGTAGATGCTTGGAATAACGTGTCTGCTGGCTCTGTTGTTCAAGCTTTTGCAAAAGCCGGCATTATTTCTGAGGAGCTGCGCTGCACGGAAAGTGACTCTGACAGCGAAGAAGGGGAAATTGGCAGGCCTGATTTAGCGCAGCTGTTTAATTCAGAAACAGAGGATGATGACTTTGATGGGTTTGATTAATACTTTGTAATAAATACATGAATAAAGCACAAACATACTCAGTTTTGCTCCCGCTGTATTTTTCTACCTGAAAACTTAATTCAACAGCAGCCTCTGGGCGGGTCTCCTCCTCTTCACCGCGGTGGCTGGCAGGTGTTTTTTCATCTAAATAATCTAAATCTTGCAGCTATATTTGCTGTGATCAGTGGGAATAAAGTAGTTTTAATATGTTTTTAAGTGAGAAAGTCCACCTGAAAACTTAATAATTGCAGTCAGTTCATCCAGATTTTCTATTTCTGTCGGAGGCGCTCAGACCCCCACATACCAGCGGTGCACCGACAGTAGAAATCCCTTCAACAGCAGCCTCTAGGCAGGGCAGCCTCCGGGTTCACGCGGTGGATGGCAGGTGTTTTTCATCTAAATAATTTAAACTGCAGGCACCCATAAAAGCGAACATATTCCGTCGGCAGGTTTCAGGATTTTAAGTTAATTTAGGAGTGACCACAGCGCTGTGTCATCTGCGATGTGTCTGTCTCACGGCCAGCTGCCAGGTTTGATTAATACTTTTTAATAAATACATGAATAAAGCACAGTGATACTCAGTTTTGGGCCCGCTGTATTTTTAAATACGCAGTAGAGGTATTTAAAGGTAGTAGAGGACATGTACCTGTATATAAAAAACGCGCCCTATAGTCCGGTGCGCCTTATGTGTGTGTTAAATACAGAAATGGGACACATAACTGAGACTGCGCCTTTTAGTACGGTGCGCCTTATGGTCGTGAAAATACGGTATATCGTTATTGAATTATCGCCCAGCCCTAGTTCTGATTCAAGTCTTCTGCCCTCTAAATTATACTAATAATAGAGACTAATAATAACTTAATCTTAAACCATAAACTTTTTTCTAGATGTTTATAAAAAAAAACATATTTGATGTTTTCCAGACCTAAATAGCCCAAAATGAGATTTGGAATCCCTGAATTACCGTGTAAAACTGGTTACTTATATTCCCTTAGAAAATAAAATCGGCAAATTTAGTAATTTAGATGTGATTTGTGTAACAGATTTTGTGGGATTGAGGCATTAGTCAGTATTATTTCTAAATGCATTTTATAGAGTAGGGATTCTTCGGGGCGGAACTGTTTCATCTTCTCTCCACGCTGATCCTACGTTCCTCTGTGTTTCATCCCCACAGACGACCCGATCGGACGACAGACAGTTAAAGTGCTCAGCTACCCACAGTACTGCCGTTTCCGCTCCCTGCAGAGACGGATCCAGGACGGAGCCAGGGGCCCCTCTTTGCAGGACCCCCATCTGCTGGCCCTGGGGGGCATCAAGGTGCTACCAAATGTCAGAGTCATGTACTGCAGGGACACCTTCAACCATCCGACGCTGGAGAGCAGTGCCTGCTTCTCCTGGCAGTTCAGTGAGTGTTGCTGGGAAAACCAGACATCAGAGCTTCTTTTTGGCTACTTGTCCTTATCTACTGCTGATAATATAAAAATCAGGACTGATCTGGAATAAACTGGCACAACAACAAGTTTAGTAGAACTCTGGTCAACAATTTCCCATCATGAGCAGGATATTTTATTTAATTTACAACCCAGTCCAGCCTATTCTTCTTTTGGGAGCGTAATGCGGCTTTTTTCTACCACATTTTTTTCCTTCTGCTGAATATTTTTTAATATTTATTATTGGATACAGCACAGCTGGTTTCTTTAGCAGTGACCCTTGGTGGCTCAACCTCCGTTTAGAAGGTGTCCAACAGCTGCCCTTTCTGATACAAAATTAAAGCTTTTATTCAAGATTCTGAAACTTCATCTTGGGCTTCATTAGTTGTAAGCCAAAGTCATTCACTTCTGCAGAAATAAATGTTATTTATTTAACCCTGTATTAATCAACTGCAGTTTAAAATTACCACCTTATCCGTTCTTTTTTCTTTCATTTCTAGAGCTCCATTTTTGAATTTTTTTTTTTTTTTGTTGCTGTTAAAATCAAAATAACTTCTTTGTCTTCAAAAGCTGAATAATAAACCTCGTCAGAATGAGACGTGTTTATCTATACCTTGAGTTTAAATTGATTTCTCAGGTTTTTTTTTAGTTTGTCATTAAAACAAAATATCTTCTACTCATGAGCTCTTAGTATCAGGCAGCTCTTGAATTAATTTCAGGTCTATTGTTGCTCTGTGAAAGACAATAAAAACACTTCCTTTCTTACAACTTGCTTTTTTTTACCAATGACATGCTGCCCCCTGCTGGGCTTGTTGGTTAATGTTGTTTAATAAACTGCTCTATATCAGACCTCTGAGTTGCTCTAGATTTCCAGTAATAATCTTTTATCTTCTTTTATTGTTCTCCCGTTTCCCTTTTCTGCAGGGTGTCCATCTCTGAGTCTCAGAGGACGACCTCGTAAAAGGAAAGGCCGTGACAGCAAAGACTCTCCGACCTCTGGTCAGCCGGAGTCTTGGATTGAAAGGATGAAGGTCAGTCTGTGCTTGGAGACGTGAAACAATGTAGTTTTGTTCGGAAAAGAGAAGCTGTGCTGTGAGAGCGAACCGTCTGAGCCTGGAGCCTTCAATGACTCAAACTCTCTTCCCTAAACCTAGATAAAGACTCAGGAATTAGAGCAGGAATGTTGGGATTTAGAAAAAAAAAACACAGGATGCAGAAGTCAAAGCACATTAACTCAAATTAATTGTACAGACAAATTTCTGCTGAAACTAAACTTGTATTGTTGCTTTTCTCATATTTATTAACGGAATTAAAATAATGTAACATATTTCTGTAAAGTTTAATGAAGCAAAAAAAAACTATTTTAGCTAAAAGAAGGTTGTTTGTAAGAAGAATGAAATCCTGCAGCATTCCTCACTGCGGCTCTTCTTCCTGCAGGAGAACGTGATGGGCAGCGTAGAGGTTGGCTGTGAGGTCAGCTGGCTCCCCCACCCAGAGGAGCAGCTGTTCCTGGATCAGCTCTTCTCCTTTATGGAGCGTCAGGGATCGCCTATCCACAAAGTTCCCAACCTGGGCTTCAAGAAGAGTGAGTATCCCCTTTTCCTCCAGCTGTCTGCTGTACTTTTCACTCTGCCTTTACTTCTGCAAATAGTTGAAATAATTCCTTCTTATTTTCTCTTTAATACTTTTTTCCAGTAATTTTTATTTGATTAAATTAAAAACAATCCACTGGACTTTTTTTTCCAAGTTTGAAGACATTTCGCTTCGCATTGCAGTCTAACAAAAGAAGCCAAACACCCACATTCCAAATAGGTGGACCCCTTCGTCTGTTCCAATTTGCATGCTTTCAAAACAAAAACAAGCCTTTGTTGGGCTACTGTATAAAACCTCAAACTAAACGCTATTCCTGACATTTGAATTGAAAAAGCTTCCTGAATGGGAAGCGAAACGTCTTCAAACTTGGAATAATAAATTCTCATTTTTGGAATGACTATGACCTGGATGAATGAGAACATTCACCAACATTTTCTTTCATTACTTCCTGATCTAACTGCCTATATTTTTATTTTCAGCTTTTTTGCTATTTTGTAAATGATCTTGTTCATTTTTCACATTTTGTTTGTGAAAAATGATAAAGCAGCTCAGTGGAAAACATTTAAGTATAACGGGGAAATTTAAACTAACTGTTGCATTCCTGCCTGCAGTCGACCTCTTCCTCATGTACTCGGTGGTCAAACGACTTGGTGGCTACAAAAAGGTGAGCTTTATTCGTTTCTATTGAGATGTATTTTAAATCAAATAGCCAGGATGCAACAATGACACTCTGACAGGCTTTTAAGAAGTATCAAGAATTGGATCAGAGCTTTATGTAAAGATATCTGAGAGGTTTGGGTCATCAGCAAAAATGACAAAAGCAGGCGTCTGTGTTCAACATGCAGCATGGATAAGGCAAAAATACTACTGCTATTGTTTGGATAAAAGGACTGAAGATTCAGGTCAGCTCCCAGAAGTTAATGTGCAATATATAAAACACGGGAGACAGGAGGTTTGATTTGGGGTTGGTACCAAATATTATTGAAAAAAAAACAAACAAAGATAAAACAATTTACAATCTGCAGGTTTAGTATGAAATAATTACACTTTAGATCTTTAAATATAAAAAAAAAAGAAAATTAAAACAAATTCAATTACTTTATTAGAATACTTGACTGGTCTTGATGTCTCACACACACACACACACACACACACTGTATGCACTCAGTGTAAGTTAGCCCTTTTTTCAAACGTTAAAAATCAGACAGTTCTTTTAAAGTCCAACGCAATATTCTTTTACTTGGTTTGTGCAGAGAGAAAGCAGCAGGCTGACCATAGCCTCCCTGCAGACCAGCAGATATAAAAAGTCCTTTAATGCTGACGTATCTTAGCTCACCATCGGGGAAACATGGCCTGTGTTGATATAAACAGGACCCCATTTAGGTTTAAATTCAATACAAAAAGAGAAAAAATTCACAAGCTAGATCTAACAGCCAGTCATAGAATGACCGATAAATTACTTTCCAGCAGGAAACAATGTAAATTCTGTGGAAAACAAATATGTTCAAAAAATGGAAATGTCATGAAAGCTGTGCAAAACGGAATATCATTTTGTGTACGCTGTGTATACAAAAAAGACAATAAAAGTCATCCAAGTCTAAAAGAAAGAATTCAAGTCCTTCATTAGCATGCTTAAAAGGCTAGATGCTACATAGCCAGTCCATAGGGTTTCAATGCATTAGATGCTAATGCTAGTAGCACGACAAACAAATAGACTCACCGTCCCGTGTTCAAAATTACAGGCGCAACATAACCATAAAGCTCCTACTCTCCTGCCAGAGAACTAAAAAGTGCAACAAACCTAGTGAACATTTTAGTTTAACAATCAATGTTCAGGTTTGTAGACCAACCTGCTGCAGCTGGTCAGCACAATGAGGGAAAGAGAGTAATGCTGGTTGCTTATAACAAGCTCTGCGAGCAACATGGTTAGCCAGCTATGATCACATCACAGAGTCATATGAACAGAGTGACCCGACACGCTAATGTGACACGCTAATGTATTAAATAAATGTATTAACACATATATCTACATGTTAAGATTTTCAGTGTCTGATTTAACACATTTTAAATTGCTATGTAGGCACATTCAACTCACAGATTAATGGATGAACTCTGATTATTACAGATAGGAGATCATTGTTCTTTGTTTCTGTCCCAGGTGACTTCAGAACGCCTCTGGAAGGTGGTTTACAACGAGTTAGGCGGATGTCCAGGCAGCACCAGCGCCGCCACCTGCACCAGGAGACACTACGAGAGGTGGACAAACAAACCATCCCAATCCTGTCCTTTAGCTCCCAAAGCTGAAAGCTGTTAATTCACTAAACCAGTAAATGTTTGTGATTCAGGCTGATGCTTCCATATGAAGAACACCTCCGAGCAGGAGGAGCGGAGTTTAAAATCCCCGACATCCCCCTACCTTCCAAACCCAGAGGGATACGAGGACGGAAACCTCTTCCCAGAGGCAGGAAACCTGGACCTAAACCCAAAGAGAAGAAGCTGGACCCTCTTTCAGCTGCAGCTCCTTCTTCTCCGGTGAGTTACAAACTGAAGGATTATTTCACTCTATCTCAGGTTCAGCTGGGACTTTTATTCCCAATCTGGACCTTTTTAAACACCTGGATGTAACCAGCAGCAGATTGCAGACCCAGATGGGGTAATAGCTGTGTCATCACTCTGTGTTTGATTAAAGTCATCTACCAAACAGCTTTCACTGAGCTTTATAAATGGCTGAAGTACATAAAAAATGTGGAAAATTACAATCTTACCACAGAATACTGCATGTAAGAAACTTAAAGAATCAAAATGTTTTATCGATAAAGAAGTTTTTTCAGAAAGTTCTTTCTCTTTATTCGGAAGAATTTTTTTCTTTTAGGGAACTTTGGTTTTATGAAGACAACATTCAGCTTCTTTTAAACTGGTTGTTTTCAAAAAGAAACTGTACAGCAGCAGTGTCAGCTGTTATTGTGGGGAATCAAGTTTAACTTTGCCTTTTCTTTAAAGGAATAGTACACCCAAAACATGATTAGCCTTCATTTTCTACTCACCCCCATGCTGAACAACACTCTGGAGTACTTTTTTGATATCTCAAATGCATCTGGAGATCTGGGAGGCTTCTTACTGTCTGCTGACATTCAAATAATGGAGGTCTATGGTGACCGAGACAGAAAGGTCCATAAAAGTCCACAAAAAGCGTGTCAATATTCCTCCATACTGCTCGTCCAATGTATTCCAAGTGTCCTGAGTGGGTAGCATCCAGAATTTACTCGAAACGAAGTCATTTAGAATGTTTTTAGAGCATAAACAGTAGTGTATAGTATTTCCTGAAAGCGCGCACATGCGCGTTCAGGACGCTACGGAAGCCGGCAGACCAAACCAGATGAAAGTGCGCATTCAGCGTCTGCTCTGCCAATAATGCAAGCGTAGAAGAAGAAATGTGCTGTTTACCTGTGTAAAGAAAGAAACAACGAAAGAAAAATGTCTGAGGACTTCAGTGTTGAGGAAGAGCATGAGTTCTTTGCCGAGCTGAATGCGCACTTTCGTCTGGTTTGGTCTGCCGCGGTTTCCGTAGCGCCGTGAACGCGCTTTTAGGAAATCCTATACACTACTGTTTATGCTCTAAAAACATTCTAAATGACTTCGTTTCGAGTAAATTCTGGATGCTACCCACTCAGGACACTTGGAATACATTGGACGAGCAGTATGGAGGAATATTGACACGTTTTTGTGGACTTTTATGGACCTTTCTGTCTCGGGCACCATACACCTCCATTATTTGAATGTCAGCAGACAGCAAGAAGCCTCCCAGATCTCCAGATGCATTTGAGATATCAAAAAAGTACTCCAGAGTGTTGTTCAGCATGGGGGTGAGTAGAAAATGAAGGCTAATCATGTTTTGGGTGTACTATTCCTTTAAAGTAGTGAGAAAAGTAGTGAGTTTCTGTTTTTTTTTTTTTTTTTTTTCATCAAAGGATTTGATCCTTCAGTTTAAGACATTTTAAGCCAATCCTGTTTTCCAAAGCATTTTCCTTAGGTTATTCAGACTAGAGATGTCCCGATCCAGGTTTTTGCACTTCCGATCCGATACCGATATTGTTTTTGGACTTCCGATCCGATACTGGCCGATACCAGCCTATCCGAGCATGTATTTAAGTATTTAAGTTTAAGTTAAAGTATTTAGCCTTAGTTGTAAGACTCATGTTGAAAAGGGTTTTAGTACTCTTGATAACATCTAGCCAGCTAAATTAGGTGAGATTGAATAAAACACAATGATTGGTAACAACAAACTTACCTGTTTATTAAGAGATAAACAGAAACTGGACAAAATTATGAAAAGCAATCTGAAATCGCACAGTGAGCAGTAAAACCGTAAACAGTTAAAGGTGCAAGTATTACTGTAAGTTTTAATAAAAATGCAAAACAGGGGAACACTGGCGCAAAATAGTGGAATGGATAGTTTCAATCGGCGAAACTGGAAAATACGCACCGGATTTTTTTTTAAAAACTGGATCGGCAGTCTGGATCCGCATTTTACATGCTTTGCCGATACGCGTTTTTTTGCCAATATCGGCGTCCCGATCCGATCCACGTATCGGATCGGGACAAGCCTAATTCAGACATGTCTTTTAGACTTTAATAGTTTGAGAAAGCAGAAATATTTCCAAACACACCAGATAACCAACTTTTCTGCTCTTGTCTGAACAGACTGGGACTCCTAACGGCGCTGTGATGGTGAAACGAGGAAGAGGCCGTCCACCAGGGACTCGTAACAAATCCACGCTAATGGCTCAGGCAAAACTGCTGGCTCAGCAGCAGGCCAGCATCAAGCCAGCAACAGTAGAGATGAAGCAGCAGAGTCCTCTGCTGCCACCTAAAGGCAGAGGAGGGCCGACACCCAGCACCACACACAGGGTACACACTGGGGTTTTATCTTCCTTCATAGGAAGCTAGAATAGTGGTCTGGATTAGTAATTCTCCAGGGAATTATATGTTTTTTACTTCTTAGGCCGGTGTTCTGATTAAGACCTTTCTCATATCGGTGTTCTTGTCCTTCCTCTCTGCAGCCCATCCAGCCGGCCATCATCCCCATGCCCCTCACCCCGGACCTCTCCCCCATGTCCCCTCCTTTCCTCCCCTTCAAATCAGCCGAGCTAAAGACGGACCGAGGAGACTGTGCAGCTGCGTCCTCCGCCGTTCTCCTCCCCACTCTGCCTCACTTTGTCGGAGGCTCCTTGAGTGGTTTCAGCCCCATCAAAGGCGTGTGTCCTCTGGATGTCTTCAGGGGCCGCATCAGCCTCCAAAGAGGCCCCGACAGCCCCGCCCTGACCCCTCAGGACCCTGCACAGCTCCATCCCACCATCATCACCGTCCAGCCCAAAGGAGGAGGTCCTGACGCCCCTCATCCCAGCACAGAGCAGCTGCAGACTCAGCACCATAACCACTGCTCCGGCTGTACACTGGAGGAAGGGGCCCAGAGAGGAGTCACCAAGGACGCCAGGGGACGGCCCCCCTTGCCCCCGCTGCGTGTCCTGCCTCTGAACCTGGACTGCAGCGTTCAGGTGTGTCAGCTGATGAGAACTCGCCACCTGGACACGTCTCAGCTTCAGACCTTCACCCGGCGGCTCTCCGAGGCTCTGTCCCAGGACCTGAGCACCAAGCCCCCCTGTTCCCCCATCACCCCTCCCCCTGAGCAGGCGCTGCCCCTCAACCTCAGCAAACGCTTACCACCCAAAAGACCCGCCAGCGATGGACCGGAGCAGAGTCTGCAGACCGTCAACGGAAACTCAGATCCTACGTCATCCAACAGATCCCGGACCAGCTTCCAGGAGCAAGCCCAGGACTTCAGCCTCGGCGTGCGGTCCGGTTCTGGTGCAGCGCCCGGTATTCAGAACATGGAGGCGAGGAGCCAGGAGGAACCGGCAGACCTGAGCTCTCCCAGCAGGATCCGAGCCTTTCTGCTCGGCCTGCCGCCCTTCCAGGTGAAACTGGAGGAGGATCTGAACGGGACAAAACTGGTGAAAATTCCTCCTACTGCTGAAACCAAAAGGACTGAGGTTGGAGAAGGAGGCGTGAAGCAGGAGGAGCGGGTCGGTAAGGAGCCAATGGAGAAAGATCCAACCTTGTGTTCGAATTCTGGTATCGCTGAGCTGAAAGGAGCCGGACCATCCAACATGGACACACACTGTTTTTAAAGTTAGATCTGGATCGGCTTTAGAGCGGAGACTCCTTTTCCTCACGAGGGTCCATGTTGGTCACAGGGAGCGCCTCCTCAGCAGCTCCCAAACTTTCAACTTTATCTCGCTATACTTTCCGTTTTCTTTGGAGGAACGTCATCGAACAGAATCATGACAATCACAGATGAGTTTCTGTTCAAACCAAACGGGAGCAGATTGTTTTTCCTGAACACTGCCATAACCCTCAATAACACTATAAACCCCCCGATGTTCCACAACAGTTAGAAGAAACCATGGATTGGTGATGCTATGCATCATGACTCCTCCAACAGCATCCACGGTGTACCATCATCCGCTAGTCCCATTTTTAAATTCTTCTCTACGTCTGTAGGGAGAGACTTATTTTCTGATAAAGTGTTTAAATGTAATCTAGGGCTCGAAATGACACGGCGGTCTTCACTATGTATCCGATTAAAGTGAAGCATTTTAGTCCTGCTTGTTAGTTGAAATAAACGTACACATACGTGCCTTAAGCAGCCGGGGGGGCCTCTCTGGCTCCATCTCCATGCCCTAAGAGATACCTTGATGTTTCCGTTGTGTTCAGCTTGTTTCCCTGATCCGCCTGTAGCTTCAACAGTCAAACTACCTCAGGTTCTTCATTTTATTCCTCATTTTGTTCCGCCATGTTTGGGTTGGAAGCCGCTCTGAATGAATCCTCAGCATGTGGAGCTTCTCCAACCCTCCGCTGTGCATCTCAGTAGAAAATCATCAAACTGTCTCTAGTTCAGTAATTCAGTTCAAACAGTGAAAGTGCTATATAGTTTAATTACAAACAGTCATATTTAAAATGTAAAATCTGTTCATTTTAACGATTAAACTTTCTCATAAAGTCAGACCAATATGAAAACATTGAGGAATGTGAGCCTTCTTCACAGCGTATCCTTATACGGATCATTATCAGTACTCTGCATCTGATTAGAGCTTATTTTGGAGGAGTTACTGCATCTGTGCTGCAATGCAGCAAATGCAAGGGCATTAAATTAGCATTAACTCTGAATCTCATCTTCCTGTGGAAAACACCCCATAGACTGCTGTTTAGGTCAACCAGGTTGCTGGCCAATCAAATGCGCCAACATGGCTGATTAGGATGGGCTGAGTCCAGCTGGAATTAAAAATTAAGTTAAAAATCCAGATAAAAGAGTAAAATCTAAAAATTCAGGTAGACAGCTCTTCTTACTTTTGGATGCAGATGACACGTCTCCTCCAACCATCTCTGAGGAGAAAACATGCCTCTTTTCTTTTATTTCTCTCCCTCTCTCCTTTCCCTCTAGACTTTCAAAATTAATTCAAAAGTTTATGTGAAACATCTTTGGTCCAAAGAAGCTTTCCAGCCCCACATAGCGTGTCCCTTAGAGACTCTGGTCTGTGATCAGTTTTACAGTAAAACAGCAGTTCTCGTCTTTTACCACCTTTCTCTAAACTTTCTGCAAGAAAACTGTGGAGTCAACTGACTTCTAAAATAATGTTGGCTGTGGCATTACATAAATGTATTAAAACTTTTTTTTCTGTAAAAAAAAAAACAAGAACTTGGAAGTCATAAACTTAATAATCCAAATATGTGAACTTTCTGTAATGAAGCTATATTAGAAGTTTGACTTTTTGAACTGAATTATTAATAGGAAATAACCTCTTACCTAAATTCCTTCGGATGCGCACGTATTTACGTAAATTTCAACATGTTAAAAAGAAACGTGGATTGAAACGTGCGTAGAAGAAAAAGTGGCTTTCTTGTTCAACATCAAGGTATCTCTAAACCAGTCTGTCCTGTCTGCTTTAACACATGCTGGTTCAGATTTGCACACCTACTGTACTTCTTTTGCTTTTCCATATTTAAGCCGGTTATCTTTTGCCCTCTGCCATTATTTCTCTTTTGTAGTCGACTCAAGCTGATAAGTGCTGTTCTTTTTCCTAGTTAGTATTTTTCCTTAGCTCATGGCCATATTGGTTTTGGCTTGCACAAACCCTAATAACTTGTCACATAGCAAGTCGGTAAATCTTTAATAGGTGGAAAAACTCACATTTATTTGTCCACTGAGAAAATATTTTAAAGAAATATTTTAAAAGAAAAAAATGTGCTTATTAGTGATTATTTTTTAACAGATTTGACTGTTGGTTCAATGTGAAGCAGAAATCTTTGTGAATGATTGCATGAACAACAACGTGTACTCAGTATATGGGCAGATGCACCAAAGTGCTCCACCAGACTCCTGTAGAATTCTGTTATTGATAGTATTTTTGAATTTTACTTTATTCATCTTTATCTGTTTTCTTCCTTTAATGTAAAAAGAAATTAATCATGGAAAATTCATAATTACAAATGTCATATTTTCTTTATTACAGTAATATTTTTTCACCATAGGGTAACTACTGTAACTACTGTCTCTCTGCTTCATCACTTCCATAGACCTGTATTTATTGTTTGTATGGTGTTTTCTGAAAGCAACAGTCTCACAGTTAAGGACCCAGATTGTTTTAAAGGAACAGGTTAGTAAAACGGATCAACTTAAAGTAATTATGATGATGATAAACCGAAGACTTATCAGGTATTTAAGCAGCGTGATCTAAAAATTAAAATGTCCTTGAAAAAAGCAGCTTTTAGGACGTTCCTAAAGAGAAGCGCTAACGATAAATTATGCTATTATAGTGTTAGCATTAAGATTGTTTATTTTATCACATGAAAAATTGCTGTTGACAAAACTATTAATCAGCTTCTGGAACGGTTTCTGTCTCATTTTGCTAATACTTTGGCAAGGCTGTGATCAGATAAACAGCAGCTCAGGTTTTAAACTTAGACAATAGGCTAACTGCTTTTTCAGGCTTTCTTTAGTGTTTTCTATTTATTTTGTCAACTAAACAAGCTGTATTGGTGATAGAAAGTGCTAACTTTGCTAGCTAGGCTATCTAACAGTGCTAGGTGTGTCATTATCTAAATAAATAGAAGCTCCTATTGGGTAACCAGCGGTTAATTGTCAGCACACCTTGATGGTTTTGGATAGACTAAGGTAAACTGAACACTTTAAAACTATTTTTACCTAATAATGGACGGTTAGAACAGTTTTTTAGCTAAACATGCTAGCTTGCGTCTCCTCGGTTGGCCTTGCACTCTTTCACAGAATAGCTGCTACCAGACAAAGTCATCAGTTTGTAATCTAGGCATACGAAAAAGGGTTTTTATTATCACCATATGTTCAAAAGATTCCCAGATTAGTTTTTCTTTTGTTTGTTTGTTTTTTAATTTGTCTACAGGTTAAGTTAACTTTTTAGTGATTTCTAATTGCTTTGAGAACAGCTGCCATAAAAAAAACAGACGTAAACTGTCCGAAACCGATTGTTTTCTAAAAGCGTCCGCTACCAGGTTTGTTTTTAAGGTCATGATCTGCAGAGGGGCTCCTATCCTTCTAGCTGAGCTGGATCTTAATGACCTCAACTTTTAAAACTGAACTTAAACTCTCAACATGTTCCTTTAAAATTCATCTGGGCCTGATCACTTTAACTGGGTTCCTCCCAGTTAAAACGCAGCTCCACTGGACCAGCTTAGAATTACCTTTCTTGTTTTTTCCAGGATGTATTAAATAATAATGACATGCCACTCATATTTTTCATTCATTGTAGCTTCTTAAAATGGTATAAGGTTTATTTTTTTCTTTGTTTTGGTATGTAAGCTTAGTCTAGATAGTTTTTTTTTTCCTCTATTGTGTTTCACAATGTTTACATTTTGTTATGCATGCTATTCCAATTTCCTACACAGTGTTTTGCACACTACTACGGCATCAGTCTTGAACGGCACTGCTCATTCATGTAAAGTACTTATAAGTGCCTGATACTTAAATTTGGAGTTAATGTTTGTAAGCAAACGAAAGTTAAATTAGCTCATTAGCCTTCATGCCACCTACTTGAGCGAGGGGTCCCAGTCTAGTGGAGTTTTGTTGAACTTTATGGCCTTTGCGTGTTTTGATGATTCCTGTGTCGAGGATCTGATGGGGAAAGAGCATCAATAGCAGGACGCCGCTCAACTCCGCGTGTCGGACTGAACCGGAGCTACAGGACTTTAAAAAGGGACACCGAGGGGTCGTTTGGACATTCATAATGATAAATGATCAAAATAAAGGTGCTACATGTCACATTTTTACGTCTTTGAATTGTATTAATATGACTTCTGCATTTTCTTTTTAAATTCCTCAATTTCGTGTGAATATTCATCTAAAGATTAGCTTTCAGCAGCATCATGATGCCCTAATCTACCTTTTTTTTTTTTTTATCTTACTCTCTGATTCATTTAGTCTCTTAAAAATGCTTTTTCAAATGCTTCCCACGAATAGATAGTTTGGGATAATTTTGTAAGCAGATCAATTAAAGCTGGTTTAGAGGCAAACTATGATGAAGTTAAAGTTCATTATTTTTTGCATTATTTTTACTGAGCTGAACAGAATCAATTGAGAACATAATTGACTAAATATTTTGAAAAAGTGGAATTGAGTAACCAGATGTGTTTGGGCTTATACATGTTTTCTTCCATTCTTTTTAATTTTTATTTTTCCTAAGAAAGCCAAAGGGGTTTTATGATCTAAACTACCTTTTTATTTTAAGACTAAACTACTAATGGAAGCATTACAGTTAATTTTTGACAAAAAACACAAACTTATAGTTATTAAATAACTATGCAGATGTTTTTATGTACAGGGAAAAATTTTACTTCTGTTGCTTTAAAAAAAATCTACAAATCAGTGGGTTTATATAAAATATTAAGGGGGGAAAATTAAATCTAAAATCAAAACTTGATTCTTTTTTTTTTTGTGATGGGGAAAAAGAAAATTAGTAATTAAAAAGTCATTAGGAGAGTCAATCACATTATCTAGCTTCTATGTAACTCCTCCCCTGAAATCATCATGCCAGGCCTGTGATAATAAATCAAAAATGCCTTAAACAGTCAATTTTCTGCAACCAGCTTATATCAATAAAATCCAGATGGTGAAAAATGCTCCATGTGGCACCTTTACGAACGGGATGTTACACATATGAATGTTTTACTTTAAGGATGAAAAAAAAAACAAATATTTGCTTAATATTAAGCACAGATTAGCTGTAAAATCAAAGCATCTCCTCCAAAAGTTTGTCTTTTGTTTCTAGCATTTAAAGAAGGAATCAACTTGAGGCGATGGATGTGACGTTCTTGATTTGTCAACCTGATACTTTAAGGACATGTTTTATTTTCATTCTATGCTGTTTTACAACAACACGTGGTCCGTTCTCTTCTTTTTGGTTCTGTTTTATTGGTAAATGGCTTTCAGTGTCAGGTACCGTTCCATTTTAACACTGTATATTTATATTAAAAGTAATCTGGTAATAAGATCTGAATTATTGTTTTCTTTTCAAAAGATGAAACTTTTATAGCAGAGTTCTGCTTCTATTCAATTTAGCGGTTTAAAAAACCCTTAAAAAAAAAATCTAATAAGAGCAACACAATGTTAAAATATACGTCTAAATGGTCGCCAGCATTAAAGTTTATACAAACCAACCAAAATATTAGGACCATGTACACTATATTATTACGTAAAGTACTTATTTTATTAACAAAGTACTGGGGTAAAAAAAAAAATCTAAGCTTTTATTTAAATTAAAGAAAGGAAATCCTTAATTCTTTTGATAGAAAAGCAGTTTTGTTTTTTCTAGCACGGAAACAATGAGACAAAGCATTCAGATGTACGAACTAGACTCCATGGTACTGAGGGGCAAACTGGCAGCCTAACGTTTTAAACAATGGGAGATGGAGCCTCTAGGCCTGAGCACTAATGTGAATAATTGTTTTACTGAAATCAATAATTGATGCATGCATTAAAATCTCATTACATTTAATAATCAGTTGATTTTTTTTGTTTTTTTTTTGTTTTAGTCCTTTGAAAAAGTTGCTCATCTAACAAATCTGTTCTGAATCTGGTATTTTATGCATATATCTAAAATATTAGGTACAAGTATGCAAAAGGCCTCCTTACTCTCAATACAATAGCTTATGCGTTTATCTGTCTTCACAGTGACTTTTCACAAGTCTTTTTTTGGTAGCACCCTAAATGCTGAATATATGTTTACCGTATTTCTGTACCTCAGTTCAAAAGGTGAAACATATAAAAACAAACTAAACACAAATGTATCTTATAACCTCTCAATTCTGTTTAATGTAAGTTCCAGGCTGCTCAGTGGCAGTTGCAACAGGAATGTCCTAGGTTCGATTCCCAGCCTGAGATCTTTCTGCATGGAGTTTGCATGTTCTCCCTGAGCATGCGTGGGTCCTCTCCAGGTACTCCGGCTTCTTCCCACAGTCTAAAAACAGGAGTGTTAGGTTAATTGGCTTCTCTAAGTTTGCCTTAGGTGTTAGTGTGTGTGTGAGAATGGTTGTTTGTTCTGTTAGTCTCCATGTTGCCCTGTGATAGACTGGCGACCTGTCCAGGGTGTACCCCCTCTCTCGCCCACTGACAGCTGCAGATGGAAAATGGATGGATGAATGGTAAGTTCCTCATTTGAGCTCATAGAGATTCAATATTAGCTTAAAATTAGAAAAAAAATTCCACAGATGTTTTTAGTCGGACAAATGATCTTCATTGGAGCATATTTTCATTGTTTGGGGAGTTGCAAATCTGTGTACAGAGCTGTCACACACAGATTCAATTACAGAATACTGTTGCAAACATGCAAAATCATTTTAAAATGTGTTTTATTGTAACTATGACAGAGAAACTGTTTTTTAAAGAATAGGTCTAAATGACTGGGGGAAAAAAAGACTGAACTTTATATTTCAACGTTCAAATACAAAGATTGACTTAAAATGTTTATACTTATTTTTAGTGACGTCTTACTGTTCTTTTGGTTCTATTTTCTGAAATGGCTTTATAGTTACTATGACAGAGTGTGATTCCCTAAAATACCCACTAGATGGAAATGGAAATCTTTGATAAAATATCTGGCTTCTTTTATTTTTGGTTAAGTTTTGTTCAGTTTTTATTCTAAAAAAAAATAAAAAGAACTCATTAGTTGTTTAATTTCTTCCATCACTTAAAATTTTTCATAAAAAAAATAAAAAAAGTCCAGTTACACGTATTACACGCTTTATTGCTCCTATTTTTTTTTTTGTAAAACTGTATTTTCTAATGAAATGTTAGCAGTTATATTTTGGGATGTGAGCTCAGGAAGAACTGAACACATTCCTTCCCTGCAGGACTCATAAAACCAGAGTTGTGAAAACATTGAGAGAGTAAACATTCACACCAAGGAGGAAATGAACACATTCCTCAGTCTGCAGCAGGAGCTTTGTTACCAACATCGTGGTAAAGGTCGTGTTTAGGCTGCCCAGACTTTCTTCGGGGTGGGGGGGGTTAATCCAATACATGAAATGATTTTTGTCTTAGAGCATTCAGCATCCTGTGATTTTTTTTTTTTTAGTTTTCCTTAGTTGACCTTAAGCTGATCTGAAATGCTGACTCTGCTTCTTCTTCTCAACAATAAACCATTGATTGTCTATAGCAGCAGCTCCCAAACTCCCCTCCCTAAGAGCTGCTTTTAGATGCATCAACCCATCAATCTAACTTTACTTATTAAAAATAAGTGCTATGTTGATTTAAAAGTGATAAAGCTGAAACAGAAAATATAACACATGTGCATGTAAAGAAGGCATTGCTAAAGGGAAGGGTCTTTATCTCTCCCTTAAAAACATCAGCAATCTCCATGGCAGATTAATTCCTGGACAGGAGGCCATAATGCTGCAGAGAAGCCTACTCCTGCCCCAAAACACACTTGAATGGTTACATAACCTTCTCAGGCATCAGGTGTTGCATGAATCTGTTAATCACCCATTCATTAAAGCCAGATGTCAACAGGGGAAAAGCTAAATCATGCAGGGCAGCGCACCCTGAGGGCCAGAGTTGAAGAAGCTTGGCTTTTAGATGCACCTCTGCTTCAAACGGCTGAATCCCCTCATCAGCATCCAGTCATTCAGCACTGAGGAGGTCAAGTGACGAACCTGTCATGTGATTGAGGAGTATCAGAGAAGGAATGCAGCTTTAGGGGACTGGATCTTTAGAGCGCAGGTCGGGCCTGTTTGCTGACCAGCACAGTAACACCACGGTCATTGAACCAGCAACTGCTCCCTTTGGCAGGTTGGGATGGAGCAAAGTCCTGTTGGAAAAGGGAATCAGCGGCGTTGATTCTGTGCCTCAACACTCTTCATCTAAACTCTGGGACGCTGATTTTCCGAGTTAAACACGTTTAACATTCATCTGAAAAGGAAAAGGATCCTTGGTCTCAGCCCGGTAAGAAGCTTCTGATGTTTGTGGTTAATGTCTGCCAGCTGCAGCCCGTTACCTGCATACATCCGTGGCGTTGCCTTAATCTGAGCTGCTGTTTCCTCCTTGTGATTCAGCATTAAATCTTCCCTTTGCTTCATCCCTGGCTATCATCCTGTTCATTTCTGTATTTCCTGAGATTATTTTTAATCTACTCGTCTTCTGGGGATTAATCCCATGATTGTATAAAAAATATACTTTTTTTCACTTTATGAGGAATTGCTAGAGATAAAATGTTTAATTTTCATCAAATTAACTCTAAAAATCAAGGATACATATTGCTTTGTACTGTAATTAACCTACAAGAAGGTTTCACATTTTCCTATCTTGATAGAACCTAAAATTGTTAATCTCAGGAGATATAGCTATCAAACAAACAAAAAAAAAAAAAAAAATGTTTTCTATATTTTTTTAATCCAAAAAAATGTAAAAACTTTGTGGTTTTGAAAAAAATCTAACATTTCCTAATGTTTATGTAACTGGCACTGTCTGGGTCTGTTGCTGGTTTTTAACCTTTTAAAATAATCTGATTTTTACAGATTTCTTTATGAATAACATCATAAAAGCCACGGATCAGATGGAGACATGCAACGTTAATCCCCACTTTGTTTCACTCCCACACAATTTCTATCTTGACGCCCACATATGTTCTTAGCTGGAAACATCCAAAGTGTATTTTCACCTTACAGAGGAGCAAACCTTCCTCATATGAACAGGTTTACAGCGATGGGAGCCAATGTTTCTGATCCCACTCTATCAATTCAGACCACTTTAAGAGAAAAGATAAAACAAAAATGTTTATAAAAACTCAGGTAAGATGGAAACAATGAGAGAAATTAAAAATCTAAAGCTTTTATTTGAGTTTTACTGAACTATGAAACATAATTTTAAAAATGCACAAATAATCCAATCTTATTCAGAGGCTACAGCTGCTTCTGTTTTGTTTTCCATCTGTCCTCCCTGGGAGACTTCTCAGCATAGAGGCTGATCAATAAATCAATCAGTTTCTCTCTGCTGATCAGGACATCTGTGGATTTCTGTGGAACATGACCTTTTGTCTCATGAGCAGCAGAAAAACATGCTATTATTATCATTTACTCTCTTAAACCCAAAAAGCAATAACTGACAGAATTTAGACACAATTATCCGAGAGAGGATAAAATAAAGTAAGAATTGAACAAGCCGAAGTCTTAAACATTAATATAAGCTTACAAAACTTGATTTAAATGGATGTTGATGCTACAGAACTATTGGTAATAATAAAGGAATAACAAAAAACAAACCACAGGGGTTGTTTGCTCTGATCTCTTTGTTATATAAATGAAATGTAAAGCCATCTGAAGTTTTACTTTCTCAGCTTCAACTGGAGGAAATGCAGCAGTAGCTGGAATTCAGCAATAAGGTAGGGCTGGTGGACATGACCCATGTTTGGAAACCGTCCAGGAGGTGGAGGCGCTGCCCATGGATCTTTGCTTTGACCTCTTTGCTGTTTATTTTCTTTTTTTCCTCAGATCTGTGAGACCTTATGTTCATGGGCGGAGCTAGAAAGGGGGCAGGGGCCCCTTCCCAGGTCACTGGAACATGAGCCCCATTTACACTCCCCTTTAGAAACCGTGCCGAGATCGGTCTGAGCACGGTTACCGAGATAACTGTAGAGGGAAAATGCCAGAAACAACTGAACCGGACTAAATTCTTCATTAGGGCTTGGTGCGGTTCAGTTCTGGCTCAGTTCAGAGATAACAAAGAGAGCATGAGCTGACTGCATCATCTCCTTACAGACAGCCTGCGTAATCATGAATATTCCCTACAGAATCATTCCACTGATGATTCTGCTTGGCAGTTTGATGAGCTTCAACGTCTGTGAGCCCTGATTAGACCATCATTGTCGTATCCACTTTCCAACAGCCGACTCTGTCAAGTAAATTCACCAAAGGCTGCCTTCTTTGCCTGACTTTCCGCAAACAACGAAATATCACAATTATGGCGCCCAGACTGCGCAATATTACATGGCGCCGCCATGTTGATTTGCTTGACTTCTTCCTTCAATCCTAGCAGTGGTACTGTAGATCATCACTAGGAGGTGAGGAACCATACTAGCATGATGTGTAAACCGTCGTAAGGAACCAAGCTCGGCACGGTTAATTGATCCGAACTCAGATTGGTTTCAGAGGGGTAGTGTAAATGGGGCTATGATTTACTAGCCTGACGTAGTCCGACTCAATTCTAGTCAGGATATGAGTCTGATACTGCTCCATAGAGCTGTGATTATGGGCCGTGTTTTGAACGAACCAGGAACTCAATTGGATAGACCTACAACCAATAAGAGCAACGGAGTGCGTGACGTATGTTAAGCCATGCATAGTTGTTGTCAACAAAAATCAAAGCGTGCAGTTGCACGCCTAGACATGACACTGTATTTGCAGTTTACACTCGGACACTTTAAAATGTTGCACTGCTAAATTTATCTTCCCACGCTGCTACATTACTCATACTTCATCCATCCTGTACATTCCTATTAATATACATTTTATTCTCTACTTCTTGTTTTTATATATCTGTAAATATTTTATCTATTTATATAATTTGATCTTGTAGCTAGTTTTTATAATATAATTTATTTTTTTATATTCTGATGTAACTGGGGCCGTGACTCTCAATTTCGTTCTACCTCATGTAACACGTGATGTGAATGACAATAAAGTCTCTTGAATCTTGAATCTTAGAAAAAGAATAAGAAGATGAGCCTTGATCGCGTTTCTCTGTTCCTCTTTTAAAATTAATTTGCTGTCGATATCTTCTAGAACAGACCTAATAGCAGAATCTACTCACTGTTGTTGTCACCCAAGCGCGCTTTGGTCACGTGGTTGATTACGTTACTGTTCATCATCTGTCCATCATCGTATAAAGCCCGCCCTGACAATTTGATTGGCCTGCCAGAGAGTGGGCGATCATACTCGCGCTACTATGGAGCAATGCCAGACCGAACTTCCCGACCTCAAACGTTGTGGGCGGGACTATGTTCGGAATGGCACCCAGGCTAATGATTTACCACCTGTGTTTTAGAAGCAAATAAGCAGTTCCCCTCTAAACCAGAGGTTGGCAGCACGGTAACTGAGTAGATTTTTCAGTTTTTAGCACTTTATCCATCAACTGACAACAAAATTCCAATTAATTAACAATTCACATCAATATACTAACGACTAAGACTGCAAGATGGAACAGTGGGTGGCACTGCTACCTTGCAGCAAGAAGGTTCCGGGTTTGATTCCTGTTACAGGGTCTATCTGCAAGGAGTTAGCATGTTCTCCTGTTAGAAAACATGACTCTTAGGTTAATAGGCTTCTCTAAAGGGTATTTAGGTGTGAGCGTGTTTCCATAGTTGTGTCAGTCTGGTGACCTGTCCAGGGTGTGCCCCGCCTCTGCCTCATAGACTGACAAGCACGGCCTCAATGCAAAGAGATGGATGGATATTAACAGACAAAGCACAGCTAGATTTTGTGCTTCATTTGGAAGAAAATGAAGGATGAAATGAAAAAGCATAACTGTTTTACACAATATAGATGTAAAAATATGTGCGCAGATGTATAAGCAAGGAGTTTTGTTTTTAAATCTAGTCCATCTTTACTGATTTATTAGGAAAATTCTGATGTTTTTCTCCTTCAGTTTCCAGTTGGTTCAGTGTGATTAGTGTAGACTGACACTAAACTAGTTTCTGGAGTCTATCAGTTTTCTGCCGCCCCTCAGTACACGATGATCTCTCTCTGCCATCCCTATTAAAATGTTCTTATTCTCTGGTAAACACTGAATCTTCAAAGCTGAATGCTAAAGTCAGAATATCAATCATTCCAACAGTAATGGTAATGTTGCTAAGTTAAAATTAGAATTCAAAATCCACTCCGGCTGTCACAAATAGGAACATGTTGATTTTTGCAGCTTTATAAAGCGTTGTGTCGACACCCAACATTTCCGTACATGAAGTGCATCAGTGGTCCGGCTGTGGACATGTTGTAGCTGTCTGCTGTAAAATAAGCTGATTCTCTTTCGCCTTTGAAAAGTTTCTTCACTTAAATCTGAGATTTCAGATGTTTTTATAATCCTGCAAAAAACTTGTTCTTTTACAGAGCAAATGATTTTGGAGAAGGAGCCATTTTCCCTGCATGGTAGAATTGCTCTGTCAGTTTTCTTTGTGATCAGTTACCCACACATTCGACTAAAAAAAAGGGTTTTTGACAGACAGTCTCAGGCACGTTCTCATTCATTTATATTATTCATTTGAAATCTGGAATTTGGCATAAACATCAACTGAGCTTGGATAATTACAGAAAACTGCAGCAATTTACTACAAAATGAAACTTCTGTTCAAATTGGTTGTGAAATTAAATGAAATCCGACTGAATTTTTTTTTGTATTCTATGCTGTAAAACAACAACAAACAAAAAAAAATACTTCTTTTGTGTAGATGTGTTAAAAACGTATCCCCTTATAGTTTAAGCCAGACCTCCTCAGTCTGTTAAATATTAATACAAACAGCATGGCTGCCCCACTGGGAAATCATTTGTAGAATAAAGCAGATCTCCAATGACCTAACAGTTTAGGAATTCCCCTCCAAGTCCCTCTCTTTGGGCTTTTGTGGACATTGTGAGCGATGGACTGAAAATGAGGTCCTTTTCTCCTCGTTTCCCGGAAAAGTTGACATTTAGGAACAGGTTTTTATTGCCCGCCAGTTCCCGCCACAGGGTCACCCCAGTATTTGTCTCTCCCTGCCTGCCGGCTGGCTCCGAGCCCACATACCTTCCCTTCGGTTCTCAGAGCTGGGAGGATAATGGAGCAGAGGAGTAGGTGCTGGTTGGCGCTTTAATTGGCACAAATAGTAATCGTATGCAAGCTGAAAGTTTAAATTGTTCATCTTTTCTCATTCTGCTACATTTACCTCTCAAAGCTTCATTTAGGTTTTCTCCTTAAATCACTTTAACTCAAAATTACCACAGTTTAAAAACTGGGTTTCCTAATAGTAGAGGAATGTCAGATATTTTAAATCATGGGTCAAATTTTGGTTGAGGGTGAATCCCATTTCTAAAACTCCAGCTCTGCTCCATCATGTCTAAAAATTTCTCAGTTCAGCAATACTCAAGATAAATGTTCTTGCGATAGCAGATGAATTAAAAAGGTATGTAGACTGCATTGTTTCCAAATTCATGAATTTGATCATTTTGCCAATATAAAGGAAAATATTGGAAGCATAGGCAATATCACTCAGAAATCGCTAGTCTCTGACTCCCTGCAGACTTCCAGCAGTCGGCCAATCAGAAGGAAGCTGGATTTAGCTAAAGACTGGGATTGTTGTTTTGCTTTTTCTTGCTGTAAATTGAGCTAAATAACCTGATTAATACCACCAATCAAAAGGTAAAGCTAATATTAACACACGTTGCCTCCTAATGACTGAAAATTAAAACAAACGAAAATTTATTTAGGCTCAAAAGTATGATGCAAAAGGTCCAGGACATAAAAAGCACCATGAGAGAAGGAACAGCTCTCATAACTCAGACCTTTTCTAATTAAGTCACATTATACTAACACTGGGTGATTCAACCTTAAAATGACAGCAAACTGCCACAGTTCCAGGGCTGGTTGTTGGGAATTAGCCTCGGCTATAAATACTGATACCGACATTGGGCTGTTTGGATATAATAAACCAAGTTGAATTTATCTATTTAACTAACATAAGTTTTCAAACCCATCGTATGAATTTGATGGAAAATGTTTTGGGAAGGATTATAGTTTGTACAAAGGTATGAAGGCATGAAGACACAAAAAAAATTATGAAAATAGATTAAATGTGTGCATAAAATGATAGACTGTGTAGGATTGATTAATGCTTTAATCGAAGAATGGAAACATGTCAAAAATACACCTGTTTCAGAGAACACAGCATATTTTTTTCTAAAAAGTTGGGTTTGTTCAATGGGACCAATACTGAATGTTTTAATTTCCCCCTGAGGGAAAATGAAGCTAATTTCTGTTTCTCTTAAACTCTTTTTATATCTTATTGGATTAATCAGCTGGGATGCTCAACATCTGCATCAGCATCATCAATGACAGATGTGTATTATTTACCAGCTCTGGTTTGAGTAAATAAAACTAGTCTCGATATTAAAACAATATTCTCTGCTGTTCTGTATGCATTTGGCTGCTTGGAAGAGAAGCTCGGGATTAGGGGGGATTATCCTAAGAAAGGAATCAATGTCAAGATTATGGTTATGTGTTTTTTGTGTTAAAAGGATAAGAAAATGTATGTAATAATAGTAATGTAAGTTTTTGATCATAACGGCACTATTAAGAACAAATATTGCCCTAAACTTCCATATTATGTATCCTTAGCTGGTCCAAACTGGCCTCAGACCCACACTGGAAATGTAACAGTGTGTAACAGTCAGTGGTGATGCTGACTGGATTATCTCACTGCAGTAAAACTGTGAAACATCAAGCAGACGTCCATTCTCTTTACATTTTATATTAGGAGTAAAGCAGCTGCAGAAGATGAAACAGATCTGCTCGACTAAACGGGATCCAGCCCCGCAGAGCGAGCTGACACTAAACTGCTTTTTCCTAATGGAGCCTCTGAGTGGACAAATTAGCCTGTCAGGGCTGAGCCGGGGAGATCACACAGACTTTAGCTTCTGGAGGAAATGATCAGCACTTAGAGGAGCTGTGGCTTTACATCCAAGGCAAAGACGAAAAAGGTCAAAAGACTTAAGTCTCCCTGAAATTTCATTTAGACGTCCACACACAAAAAAATTTTTCTTTCCTCCTAAAATTGTGTTGGCTGATGGATTTTTAAATAAAAGAAGCAACTTGTACCCAGTGAATTAGCTCAGATAAGTTAAAGATATTTTCTTTTCTTTTTTTTAAAGTTTATTTTACCTTCTCTATCTAATTAACTTTACAAACATAAAGGTGAAACAAATAACCTGTATGAATAACAGAAGGACTTTTTCTTGCCAACAAAACCAATTCTACATAAAAATATACATTTGCTTGGTTTAAAGATGAGTGAAGATGAAAATAACTCAAGCTAAAATATGAAAATGATAGAAAGGGGTTATCTGCCAAATTAGTTTGAAAAATCCTGAAATACTTGTACCTCTAACTGCTTTGAATTCGACATCACAGCTTGAAATTAAATTAGGATTATATTCCCAGGGGGAAAAAACTGCAAGAAATATACGTAACTGGTTTACTGTTACTTCTTGAAGGTTCTGATGTGGACTACAGGCTTAAAAACAAAAACAAGAAGGTACTGGAGCAAACTTTGATTTGAAGGAGCATAGTGGAAGTTCCAGAATTCTTGCTCAAGTCTGCCCCCTATGGTGACAAGTTGAAATGACACCTGTGTTGTCACATTCATAGAAGAGGAAAAAAAGCCTCTGCTGCAATGACTTCACAGGTCTTTAGTTTGGGGTAGAAATGTCTTCTTAGATAAGAAAGCTATGAATATTGATGTTGAATTGAAAGGACTTATTAGATATTTGAGACAATTGTGGATCTAAATCCTTCCCAACGACTCTGGTCACACTAAACCAAAGTTTTATTTTCCTACTCTTTTGTGGAGTTGGAGTTTGCAATGCATTTGTGGCATTTTTAGTATGGTCCATCCCCCCAACAGTGTGTATTCTCTCACTAAAGCATCAGTGGTAGCAGAGATTCAACAAATTTAAGGTATAGTGAAGAATTTTGACAAATTTTTGAAAAGACCCGCCCTAATCACTTTAAAAAGTGGAGAGGGCGCATGCACATGTACAACCCTGTACCCGCTCCAGAGAAGGATTGCCTATCAAAAGCCTGGATGAAAGTAGTTGTTTGAATCCGTCATAAAGCTTATTTTCCAAAAGAAGATGTCCACTATGTCAGACTCTTAGGATGGCCTTATGTAAACATATCACCAGAACGATTGACAATAGGAGGACCACTTATTTTGATGATCCACCCCGAAAAAGAATTTCCTCCACTATACCTTTAAGAGTCAGGTGAACAGGAGCGGCAGTAAATCAAGGAACAGAGTCTATAGAAGCAGCTTCATTAGATAGAGCAAAACACTGCACGTGCTTAATAGACTTTTCCTCTCGGGAGCGGGTACAGCATCGCCAAAGTCGGTCCTCGAGGGCCGCTGTACTGCAGGTTTTAGAGGTTTCCCTGCTCCAACACAGCTGATTTGAATTGAAAGCTGATTAACAGGCTGTTTCTCAACTTTAATCATCATAATCAGCTGTCCTAAAGCAGGGAAACCTCTAAAACCTGCAGGACAGCGGCCATCGAGGAACAACTTTGGGGATGCCTGGGGTACAGGGTTGTGCATGTGCATTTTGTGGAGAGGGTTGACCTTTTCAAAAATTCTCGAAAACCCTCCACTATAACTCTTTTAGAAATGGGGCTTTAAAGAAATGATGAAATATATTATTGGGATAAACATACAGCCATTTGAGAAATTAATTAGATTTTTCTTTGTCCCTATTGTAAATGTTTTTTTAATCTAATTTATTTATGCATTTGACAGGGACAGTGTACATTAAAAAGCATTCCTGTAAATGCACCAGAATTAGCCAAAAGGCTATTTTTCATTTGTTGTTCCTGGACAGATCTTACAATTGTCTACCTAAAAAAACACAATAGTAAGCATTCTACAATGAAAAATACAAATATAAAAAAGAAATTAAAAACAGCTCTAACTCCTCAAAACTGATTTAAAAATACAGAATAAGTGTTCGCTGGACTACAGAGGTTAACAAAATAGAATAAAACATTTAAACTATATATATATAAATATATATACATACATACACAAATATACATACACACACACAGCAGAGACACAAGTGGCAGCATGGCTTGTTAATGATAGACATTCAACTAATGCTGACATATGAGCCAATTTTTTAGATGCTTTTTGAAAATAGTGTATGTTGTAAATTCTCTGATGATCTGAGGGACAGAGTTCCATTCCTGAGATGCTGTAACTGCAAAGGCTGTTTGACTAAAAGCACTTTTACGCAGAGGAAAAACACAGTCTCCTCTAGCCGACCCTCGTGTTACTGTTGGCGTGTTCCTGATTTTTACAAACTGACTGAGTGGAGGACATGACAGACCAAGGATTATTTTGTAAAACAGACAGAGGTTTGCATACTTGATGAAGTTTTCCCAGCTAATCAAATAATGACTGAAAATAAAATAATGGCACTTTCTGGATTCCATACTTTTAACCTCATAGTGTGTAGCTTTGGTGTTTGCAGAAATCCTCACAGGATTAAAATGATATTAATAAAACAAAACGTGTTCCTTTTTTAATCTCTGTTGCTTTTATTTTATTCCTTAATTGTGTTTGGTTTATTTTGCATAAATATTAAACATTGTTTTCATGGTGTTTCGGCTTTAGGACACTGCAGACATGTTCCTGTCCTCTTTGTCTCCACCAGTCAGATCCTCCTCCTGCTCCTCTTGCTCCTCCTCCTGCTCCTCCTCTGTGGTTTCATTCCGTGTCTCTCTCCATCAGCAGCGCTCTGGATGCTCGCAGGGATTGAACCATGGCTGTGAACCTCGCCAAGAACCGGCTGGCTCTGCTCACCGCCTACCAGGACGTCATTGATGAAGCTTCGGACACCGACTGGTGAGTCCTGCAGCCGGAACCCCCCTCTCTGCGTGTTGCGGGGCTTTTTTTTTTTTTTTTTTTTTTTTTTTTGTGTGCGTGCATTGCGGGGCTGAAGATGCGCGGGGGTCGCAGTGAAGTGCGGGAATAAGCGTCTCTGAGCTGCTTTACTTTCTGCTCGTCCATCAGCTGCAGTGAGCCTCTGATCAGCGCTCCGCTCTCTCTCCTCCGAGCCGCACTGCAGAGTCTGATCGCTGCTTTGTTTCCCTCCAGCAGACTGACTCCAAACCAGCAGGAAGCGGTTTGCTGTGACTGGGAGGCTTTAGGTGAGGGAGGAAGGGGCCTGGTCCAAAGCCAGCATCCCTGAACCAGGGAGGAGAGGGGCGAGGCCAGAGGGAGGGAGGGGGTGAGAGAGGGGCCTCCATCATCACATTTTGTGGCTCTGGGACCTGATGTGAGGGTAGATGTTTCCTCCAGAGGTGGTCCGGCTGACTAGTTCTGGGTTTTGCTCTTGATTTAGTTCTGGACTTGGACCGGTCCTTTCCAACCTGTGAGAATAGAAGCTCATTGTTGCTCTTATTCTGTTGGCTTTACTTTAGACACACCTCAATCCATCTGACCAACCTCCCTATACCATAATACCCCTACAGCTGTGTCTCATCACTGTTCTTTTCTATGATCTAACTGATCTGACCAGCAGGGGCGGATTTACCATAAGGCAACACTAGGCAGTTGCCTAGGGCCCAAAGTTCCTGGGGGCCCCATAAAACTCTGTTTACATGTATGGTTAATACAGCTATTCCTTATTTTTGCAAATCAATTAAGTTTTTAATAACAATTCTTTCACTAAAATGCCATCAGAATACTTATAATATTAAGTGTATCACAGCCCCCCCATATTGGATCAGTCCATTTGAAAACAAACGATGCGAAGAGCAGTGTTGCGAACTTAGCACTTTTGTCACTATATTTAGCTAATTTTCAAACCCCTCTAGATCTTTTATCTCAAAAAAGCCCCTAGCACCAAATCTACCAACTTTTTTCTGCTACTGGAGACTTTAGCGACAACATATAAAAGCAGCGAACTCTGCTCTCCAGAGCAAGTCGATTGGTAACCCTGCCTCCTGCTATGGAGAACGGATAAGCAGATCATGGCTTGTCTACAGTGAAAAGAAGAACTGTGTTATTTATTTTTTGGAAACACAGGAAGGAGCAATCAGCTAAGTGAGCTTAGTGCTTGGAAAAAAATCTTCATTCCTTTTGAGACCGCATGAAAAGTTCGCTGAGTACAAAACATAGAGAGGAAAACGGCAAGAAAAGGGACAAGAAGAGAGGGACAAAACTAGAACAAATGATGTATGTCTATTCTATTAAAATTTCTGTATCTGTATAATGGGTCTGTTTTATGTGTTTTCTTCTAAGTTCAGAGGGCCCCTTTCCTGTCTTTGCCTAGGGCCCCAAATTCTCTAAATCCACCCCTGCTGACCAGATCATCTCTTCCTACATGTTTTGTGTCTCCTACAGATAACAGATGATCTGCATTAGATAGCTGTGAGCTGTAGATCCTATTAAAGCAGCAGCTCTCTGCAGCTCCTCCAGAGTCACCAGCTTCTCTAACCTTCAAAGTGTAGGATTGAGCTTTTTAAATCTAACCCTGAAGGGTTAATGCAAAGTTTGCCTCAACAGACCTGTGGCTGTTTGTCAGTCGGACCAAAGCAGAGAGGCATCATCCTTCAGCTGAGCATCTATGAACTCATATTAACAGGTTGAGCTGAATGTAATCAATACCTCTGCAGCTGCTTTCAGCCAACCAGGAAGCTCTGAAGGTTTGACTTCCTTTCAAACAATCAAAGTTGGAGGAATGTGTTTGTTTTTTCTTTTTTTTTGGTGAATCCAAAGAAAAACACTGCAGGCACCTTCTTCCCTCCTCTTCTGTTTGTGCCTGGAAGTGAAGCGAGAAAGGACGTTTCCTTTTTAAGCTGCTGCTCATTGCTGAGAAACGCAACAAGAAAAAAAAAAAAAGGTCAAACCCGACGGGGAGCAGAACAGATTAAAAGTTAAACTGTAAACCTTCATCTGGACGTGTGGTTAAAGGTGCAGCGCGTGTAATGTGTAGGGTGGCCGAGCTCAGGTTTCAGATCCCGTTTTCCAGTTTGTTTGCAGCCAAACACTTGTGATTCACGGTGAAATGCGAGCTTCTGTTATTGGTCATTAGTGTGAACGAGCTTCTTCTTTCAATCTGCACATTTTTCGGTTTTGGTTCCACATTTTGGTGGAGATGGATGGCAACATCAGTGTTTACAGCAGCGTCTTGATCCACTAACCCTTTTACTTCATACTCAGTACTCATTGATGCTTTTGCTGAAGATGTCACCATGAGGAAGAAGTCTCCATGGGCTAGATCAATCTGGAATCTGATGTTCATCATAGGAGCCTGGCGCTGAGCTCTCCTGAGAGACAGGAATGTCATTAACTTACATTTATGCTGTTGATCACTACAGGAAATTATGCTTTTTTTCCCCGTTTAAATCCTCTGGAGGCTCCATAAAAAACAAAGTGTGAATTAGGTTTGGTTTCAGAGTCTGCTGCTTCCAGAGCTCTCCCTGCGCTGCGGCAGCTCGGATGTTTTCGTTGTGGCGCAGCAGAGAGACGGTGCTCCGGGCCTCGGGTCTGCCCCCGTTTTTTACACTCGATGGCATCTGAACAAAGACAGAGACTCTGCAGACCCCAAACAACATGGGTCACCCCCCCACCCCCACCTAAACACCGCCCTCTGACCTGCTGGCTTTTAGATTTGCAGAGATAACCACAGGAAGTGGCCTGTTCTCAGGATTAAAACTCCCATCTTTTGGGAACCATTGCCTATAAAGGCTCAAACGTTCATTCATGTTTCATCCGTAAGCTTCTGCTGCTTCATTTTAGCCTTTAAGTCACAATAAAAATCTGCAGAGTCATGTTAAACACCTGAATCTCTTATTTGAATGATTTTTTTTTTTCAGTTAATCATGATCTTTTTTTTTTATGATCTTTACAGCTAATAAAAAGCCCAAAATCTGTTTCACAGACACTTCGAATGTTATCCCTCTCAGGCTCAAATTAAGTTGTAGTTGCAGGAAAAATCTGATATTTGGAGAAAATGATCATATGGGGTAGTAATATACGATTCAGACTTTTTTTTGAGAGAGACCTTCACATGCAATGAATTCTGGGATATTGCAGATTTGCAACAGTGGCCCAGAGTGGTAAATTAACACTGAAGACTGAATCTGATTTGAACTTTAACTTTATTTGAATGTCACAAACAAAAAATTAACAAAACAAAATTCGAAAAAAAAAAAATCTCTAAAAAACTTAGAGAGAACTTTTTTCTCAAACTTTTTCTCCACCGACATCTCAAAACCTCTTGAGAAGGCTGTTTCTGATAAACTGTTGCTCAAATTATAGGCAAGCTAGTAGATAAAGAATGTAGCATTCAATGGTACCTGTTTGTACGGTTGGGAATTGAAAAGATTTTCACGATTCCGATTCCCTTTTCGATTCTATGAAACGATTTGATTCTTTATCGATTCTTTTTTCGATTCCAATTTGGGGGAAAAAGGAGAACAAACAGTTTGATTATCAGAATCAACTTTGTTTACTTAACTATTGCACAATCTTACAAACTCAACAAGATCAAGATGTCCACAGGAAATGTGAAACTGGAGTAACATCTGTGTTTAAATAAAAAATAAATATACAAGAACAAACTTAATAACCAACAATGTCTAATAACAAATGATGGGATAATAACCTATTTTAAATAACAAAAAATACTAATTATAAAACAGTAGTAGGGAAAATTAACAGTTCTTTTGCAGAAAGATGAGCATATCTGCTTTTTCTGAAAGGATACGGGATCTTTCAGCGCTTATGGTGTCTCCAGCCGTGGAGAACACCCTCTCAGATGGGGTGGAGGAAGCCTGCACACAGAGGTAGTTTTCAGCCAGTCAGATAGCAAGGGCAGCGTATCTTGCTTGTTCCACCACCACAGTGTGGCGCTATCCCTGCAGGGGATGGAGGGCAAGCTTTTACAGAGCTGGATTTCCTGATCTACCCTCTGGGCTAAGGAAAGACGGGGCTTTGATTCAGAAAGTGACCGCAGCTCGTTGTCTTCCTCCTCGAATAGTTCTTCCAACTTGCGTAACTTGCGTAACTTACGTAAAAAACGTGACGTAAGTCGTGCTCCCCAGAGCCGGCGCTCTAGGCTCTGGTGCTGCGGGAATCGAAAAAAGAATCGTTCAGCGAGCTGCCAAACGATGCCATGGAATCGGAAAATACGGAACCGGTTCTTAACAGGAACCGGTTTTCGATTCCCATCCCTACCTGTTTGCGCACACGTTGCGAATCCACAACATTGAAATCCAGATGTCTCTGGTGAAAAACCCAGAGGAGATAAAATCTACTAATTGGTATGTGTCATATCTATAAACATTCATGATTCATCTTATGTAGTATTGATTTCAAAATAATGGAAATTGGTAGTGATACTTACATGAAATTGGTGCTTAATAAATCTGTTTCAGTGACACCAAGGACTCAGCCATGTTGAAAGTGAGTCAGCAGTGCTATCTGGTGAGCTGGAGAGAAACTGTTGCAAATGCACAACTAAGTCCTTCTGTTTTACTTCTGAGTAACAAAAGCTCTTAAAATATGGATGTGGAGTAATTAGCTAAGTGGGATTTAGCTGTTGCAAATCTGCAACATCTGCCTGGAGAGGGTTCTATAAGACTGATTAAAATACAACCGATTTGTACAGAGGTGCTACTTTATCTCTGACATCTTCCATGTGAGGATAAGACACAGAAGGTTACAGCCAAAGAAGCTGGGTGTTTACAGCAGCATTCATTTGCATAAGCATAAAAAGTTGAGTGGAAGGAAAAACGTTCCAGACCAACAGGCTGAGCGACTCCTTTCAGGCCAAAATTAAGGTATTTTTTCATGCACCAAATACTGAATGCAGTTTATGGCCACACTGTTTATTAAAAGGTCCTTTCATTTATTGGACTTATGTCATATTGAAATTTAACTAGAAACTGAATGTTAAACTTACATTTAATATAATGGATCATGTTCAAAACCAACAAAAGGAAATCATTTAGTATTTATCTTGCTGCATGCTATAATCTATATAATGTATGAGATTATTTACTTTTTGATTATATAATTAATTTGCTGAGATGAATGAACACTTTTATTTCTTCAGCAGCATTTTGTATGCTGTAAAAATACAAACTGGAGGCAACCAGAGCATCTCCAGTATTTTTTCAATCAGATGCTGCAGTATCTTATATTGTACTTTAGTACTTTTGCTAAAAACAACAGTTTTCGCTGTAAGGTTGCTGGAATAGGAGCTGTTGAGGTCTGCAAACCTTTATGTGTGGATCGAGATCAAAGTTTGCCATCTTATTCCTCCAGACCTTGAGGCGATCAAATCATATAGTCTTCTTTGGTTGAGACTGTAAGAGCGAGTGCAGGTTATCCGATATCAAGAGTATCTGCAGACGCTCAAGAATGTGGAGCAATCTGTGGCTGCTGTCAGCTGACCTTTTGACCCCCCTCCAGCTGCTGGAGGAAGCCATTACCTGATGAGTCACCTCTGGGAGGCTGACAAAGGCAGGAGAAAATGGAGCTGAGTGCCAGAGCGGGTCTGTGTTTAAAACTCTGGCCAGCGCACATTCGAATGTGTTTTTGTTAGTGCCTGAGGTGACTTCCTGTCTGGACGCGCGGTTGGCTGCAAACTGAGGACCTGAGAGAAAAAACAACCATTTCACTGGAAAGAGAAAGCAGAATAAAAAGGGGAATCGGGAGGGTTGCACTGTGAGAATGTCAATGAGAGGGGGCGTTCAGATACAAGGCGTTTGTTGAGAGAATCTAAATGTTCTGCTAAAACCAACTGAATTTTTTTGTACATTTTTCATTTAGAAAATCAAAATCAAGGTTAGATGTGGAGGAAGCATCTTAAAGAGTAAAGGTTTTTCATTCTTTGGACAGAGGAATCCAAAGCAGAGACATTTGGTTGATGCAGAGCTGAAGCACGGTGGTGGAAGGATGATGATTTGGGCCAGATTTACAGCCATAACACTGTGGCAGATCACAATTACTGTTTCAAATTTAGTGTCACAAAGAGCTGAGTTCTAGTTGCACTTTGCTGTGCCTCACAGGTCTCTGTAGTGGTGAACAGTGAACGTTTAAGCGCTGCAAGTGTTAATACCAAACCAAACACGCTAAGAACAGCTGAGTTCCCGCTAGAAAACATATTTCTTATCAACATTCTTTGAAAGTTTTTCGACTCAGAGTAAAACCATTAAAATGGAAAACAGTTTTTGACTTTTTTGTAAAGGATGTAAAACCATAAAACTTCAGACTGTATTGAATGTGTACGTCTACTAAATTTATTTATTTATTAAAAGTTTGCATCTCGTTAATCCTGAATGGAACAGGACGCCGCTTACAAAAAGTGGAATGTACGTCCTTTTTGGTGCAGTTATATGCAACGTAAGATGCTGTCTGAAAGGAGAATATCTATGAACGTCTGCTGGTTTGGTGTGGCTGTGAAAAAGTGAGAGAGAGCAGGACTTTGGCCCAAAGTTCAAACCTCAACTTTAATTTCAATGCCTACAAAACTCAATGCACTGAAGCAACACTGGAAAAAAAGTAATTTTTTTCTTAAAATAAATGCATTTTTTCTTGCATTGAGGGGATAAACAGACATACAGACATAGACATTTTACTAATGTAACAAGACAATTTACACTTAAAATAAGAAAACACAATTGGTTTGTCTTATTTTAAGTGCATGTTATCTAATTATCTTATGTTAAGAGTAGAAATACTCATTCCATTGGCAAACTATCTCATTTACCTACTCAAATTAAGGGTAAATACCCTTAATTTAAGAAACTTTTACTCATTTCCAGATCTTTTTCTAGTGAAGGAAGAGTGAGAAAAGACAACAATATGAAAAACTGTTATTATAGAGGATAACTTCTGAGAGGCATTAGGTCAAATAAGCTGTTTGATTATGCTGTGCTGTTTTTATTTTAAACTAACTGTCCTTTTCATAATTAGAGCGTCTGTCGCTGTCTATAACCGTTAGACTCCTGTTAAATCTGCATGAGATGCTGCCACTAATCATTATAGTGTAAGAGAAAATCAATTTTATCAAAAAATGTGATATTTCACTAGACAATATTTTATCTGTCCAGGATACCGCTGTTACAGTATTTTATTTAGGTATTCATTTATTGGGATTATTCTAAATATGATCAAATGCACCATAAATATTAAAATTGTTTATAGGCAAACATAAATATCACTGTCTTACTTTATGTAACTCTTAAACCTGCAGCCACCAGGAGCTCATCGCTCAAGAGCTTATATTCAGCTTCTCTGTACCAGCTGCAGCTCAGCAACATCAAGATGTTGTGAGGTTTTTCCACAGCTATTTTATTTAAGAAAATGGTAATATATCGTCTTAACTAATGTAT